ACACTTTTCAATAGTTACACTTTGAATAAAAGTGGTCTGTGAAACGTTTTAGTGGGTTCACTACACTTATTAAACCATGCGTTTCTGATGTGGTAAACTGTTGACGTGTTATATTTAATGATATTTATTTATAGCTTAGCTCAGTGTTTGTTCGCCAACAATAAATCATCTGCTTTTTGTTCCTTTCATGTTCTGAGTCAACATCCAAACTGTTTCTCCACACAGCTGACCAGTGGAATATGTTATTATTGCAATGGCATGTCAGTCATATTTCACGAGGCCCTATATATCTCAGTAACATCTCAAAAAGGTTTTTGTCACAATTCACTTAAGAGGAAAAAGAATAAAAGCAAGAAAATAGGGGGTTGAAACTGCCCACTGGAGAAACCTGAATATTTCTCAGTGTTTTTTATTGTTGGTAGCCCACATAGCACACTTTGTCAGTTAGGAGAATGGTAAATTTTCAAAGCAACTGGAGGCATTGTACTTCAGACAGCTCTGCCAGAGAGAATATATATTTTCTGCAAACACAAATGGGGATGGAAGTAAGTCATAACCAATTGCACAGCTGCCTCAAGTGTGTACTACTTTAACAGTATAAATATACAGCTAACCCTACACAGTCTGAGCTTCGATGTTTGTCCTAAAAAACATACACTGAAAATTAAAACAACTGTGTGGGTTTACAAGTGAAGTAAAAAAGCTTGTCTCAGAAGAGCTGTTATTGATTAATACATATTATAGACCGACAGATACTGGGGTTTTTAGACCGATGCTGATATTCTGGACTTTACAAAATATACAGAGCAAACTTAATGTTGCTGTTGTTATTTGTTTGTAAACAGCAATTTGACCAAGATGCATACTAATTGTACAGTAAAATAATCAACTTGTCAGTGCTCTCTGGTGGACAGACTATGTAATGGTGCAGTGTTTCCCATAGGAATCGATTCTATGTGTGGCAGTAGCTGACTACAGGGGGGTGGGGGGTCAGCAGAGGTTGGTTTTTTTTATTTTTTTTATTTTATTTTTTTTTTTGTGCTTGTCTCTTTTGGGATCATTTTGTGTCCCTTTTCTGAATTCAGATGTTTTGTGGGTCCACGAACGCAGCACAAAGAGAACTGTTTTCCTCAGCAGCAGTTTATTTTGTGTGAGCCGCAGGGTGGATGTTTGAGGAACAAACTGTTTGATTATTACATTCAAGTCTTCCTTTAAATCAGTTTGCAGTCGGATCGATCAGAGCTGATCAGAGTAGGTTGATAGAATAGAGGAGTAGCTGCTGCAGAGGAAAGTGAAAGCAAACTTTCTTCTACTATCGTTGAAGATAGTTACAAAGTTGCATGATTGCCTAGAGGTGGTTTGTGTTCTCACGGCAGCATTTACAAGTGAACCAGATAAAATACCTTGCGCGAGAAAGCTGCTCTTGATTGGTCAGAATTTTCACACGGGAAAAATCCAGGAAGTTAACAAAACGTTGAAGAAGAGTACACTTGCGAGATAAATATGACACTTTCTAATGTCACAATGGAGGGACAACTATGCAGGTTGATGTTAGCGCTGGTCATCGTGGACTATATTGCTGTCATTGTTCATTTTAGTCAAACCATACAGTTTGAAAACGAGGCGTGGCTCCAACTAGAAAACAATGATTTGATGCATTGGATGTACCAAGTGCGCATGTTAAGTGGCGCACATTAATAATCTTCGAGGACTGTAACATGCTCATGCTTGTTTAACCCAAATGATGCGTAATGCGACTGAAGTTGGTTCGGATTGAGGTTAAAACACGTTCTCACCACAGATGAACCGCGCCAGAGTGAATTTGTAACCACACCGAGACCACCCGTCTCCGTTCAGTTGTTTTGGTGCCAGTGTCAGAAATTATTAAGGGCCACGGGCCATTTGGCTTGCAATTTATCTAATGCCCCCAAAAGCCATGTTCCGGGGGCCAAAACTGCCCCCAAGTTTTCGAAACAACTATATGTATTTATATTTTTAACAGTATTACAATCTGACATTAAAGTATAATTTTATTTTCATTAAATTAATTTACCGTCACGTCTACAACTCATTTTCCAGACATAATCAACGAGATTGCACTGATTACGTGAGAGTAATCTGACAGAGAAGGGGACGGGGCTTTGCTGTACCATAAGTATAAATTAACCATTTCTTGGGTGATCTGTGTCTACACAATGACAAATTAATGAAAAATTAAGGTAGAATGAATGTTAAATTTTAAATTAACTTACTTACAGGATTGCAGCTAAGGAATTTATAGTAATTTGGCCTTTGTAACAGTAAAAGTAACTGTAATGTGGTGAAACATTAGTACTGCTATCAGTAGATTAATGGTTAAATCATCACATTTAAACTGGTTGAATTATAGGAAATCTGAGTGATATTTTGCAACCATAACTTTATGTAACCCATTATTTATTTCATTTATAGTGGTTTCTACTGAAGAGTGAAGACACTATCTTAGTTGGTTTTGCTTTTCATGTGCTTATTGTTGGAACATAATTACAATTTTTTGATGGCCCCCAAACATTTTGAAAATGCCCCCATTTTTTAGACCGTGGGGCCAAAATTGCCCCCAAAATATTTTGTTAATTTCATACCCTGTTTGGTGCACACCCGAGTGCGATTGCTGTGTTCACACCTGCCCAAACGAACAACACTTAGAGGGCAAACGAGCTTGAGTTAGATTGAGCCAGACCAAACAGGGCAGGTGTGAAAGCACCCTTACACTGCGCTTGGTGCTCCAGTGCTCACTCTGTGTCCAGTGTGTGCTGAGCTGCGAGTGAGACAGAGAGTGAGAGGGAGAAAAGCAGTGCCAAAACTTCTATCTAAAAAAAAAATCTATGTATGGCAGCTGATGCTGATTTTGTTGCGGTGGAAACCCTAATGGTGACAGTGTTTCTATATTACCTCAGACCTATTTTAGCATTTCATGTCACTTAGCATATATATATACCTGGCCAATTCATTGGTCTAGCTCTGTGGCGTCAGATGTCGGCTTGACAGTTATTTCACTGCAACTCCTATGGAATAGTGCCATAAATAATGAATTGATATCCATATTCAGGTAAATCATGGCATAGAATATAAGCACCAAAAGCCAGACAGATCAATTTTGTTTTGACTTCAAGCGAAATGGCAAAAATGTTTGATTTAGTATTAAATGTTCCATAATAAACACAAACAGAGCAACATGAAAATCCCACTGCAGTCCCCTCTCTGACCCCCTGGTCTATCACCTTCTAAGGCTAATATCTGCCTCTCTTTAGTTTGCTAGATATCTGACTTTTTCTTCAGCTCTCCCGTATTGATGTGTTGTCGATTTTCAGCAAGACTAACCTCAGTAGAAGGGTTTTTACATTACAGGAAGTCATTTGCTCCACTAGCGATATGAAATACATTGCTTCACAGCGCTTTAGCATTTAATCAAAAAAATATTTAATGGAGGTAATTGAGTTTAATTGTGCTTCAGACAACTTCCATATTAATAGCAGGGTTATGGCTACCTTGTCAACAAGCACAAATCAAATGCAAGATAATAAATAAATATACATATTTTCCCACACAAAGTCTTAACAGAAGATTTTGTACACAGAACACTTCTTATTTGAATAGGGTAAACATTCGCTCCATTTTATATAAATCCCTTCTGTGTATTTATGATTGGCAAGCAGCTTTCTCTTCCCTTATAATAATAATATTGCATTCATAATGGGCTCTGTTCCAGGTTGTGAAATATTGGAAGTTGTACTAGTACAGACATATTGGGAGGAATAAAGGCATGACTGACAAATTTAATCCTGCTTGCTAATGTAGCCATTAGTTAGAAATGTAGCAAACCCATTCCAACCTTTTCAGTACAATCCAGACCTCAAGCACCTGTAATCTTGCAGGTGGTATTTTGAAGACAATTGAGCTCAGTAACTTCTGGACAAATCTGAGACCTTTCCAAGGGCTTAACAGTTTTTACTGCACCTTTTTTCCTAACCTAATGGCATATTCACCGGAGAGATGAATGAAATGATTCCTGTTTGTGTGTCTGTATGATGCATGTTTATGGTTTATCATGGTAAAACTTTGGATATTTCAAAATAATCCTGAATGGTGCTGTCTTTACAAGGGACTTGAGCACAATGTCTTCGACTGCAAGGTGTTTATATGTTACAAGACATAAAGCCACCCTTGATCCAGGGTGTTTTAGCAAAGAGGGGTTCTCATATCTTTTTCATGAGCCAGTAGCAAAGTTGCCCTATATCTGTAGGGAATGGGATCATGAATATTGTGTTAACCCAGAAAAGTTAAAATCCATGCATGCTTCCTTGTTCCCCTGATCCCTCAGCTTTTGTTGTTGCATTGGCCCATTGTACCCGAGAAGAGATCAAGGGGACCCCTGTCGGTTGTGGATTATTCCTTTGTAGAAGCGCCACTGTAGGGGATAGAGGATTAAAAGAGCAGACAGTGGATGGGGATTCTACAGGAAGTTCGTTTGCAGCACACACTGCACATTAATTGTTAAAGTGGAGTATTTTCTATTGAAAAGCCTATTTGGTGTAATGTTTTTTGTGCTTTTTAAACCTATCCGAGGCACAGACCCACAATAACTCGGTACCCATTCTAGATTCAGTTTCAGTATATGCAGCACTGTAGAATTTGTTCATTTGGATATTTATATCATATATGGACAATTAGCACTGGAATTGCCTGTAGCCAGATGATGAATTTTCATTGTGTTTACATGTTTTCCCAGCTGTTGGAGGGGTTTCGAGGGCGCTGCAGCTGAATGAATATGAAAGAATCATTGTCCTCTTTCTCTCTCAATTTCCGTTAAGGGCATATTGAAACCTGGCCGCTGCTGTGGCAGTGATATTGTCACAGTGTTTCTAATTTTGTTTGTGTTATAGTTAGAATCCGTAGACAAAAGGGAGTAGTGGGGAGTATTCTACATTTTTCATAAGCTCTTGTTTCTTCTGTTTCTGCAGGAAGCCATGGACCTCGAGGTTGGGCAGCCTCATACCCAGAGTGTGCTGCGAAGAACCAATCACCTGTGGATATTGCAGATGAGCAAGCTTTGGTTTCGGAGGAGTACCAGGAGCTCGTGCTTGACAAGTTCAATGCTGAGTCCTCCAACCAGACCACCATGAAAAACACTGGAAAGACAGGTCTGCATCACAGAATTTGTTACGGACTAATGATACCAAAACAAAGACTTTTGATTCCTCTGTATTGTAATTCTTTTTTTTTAGTTATTGTGAACCTATAATGATACCAGGATGGGTGTAGAGTAGAGTTGGGTTGATTTCCAGGGTCTGGTGTAAGAGCTAAAACGCATTGAATTTATGCGAACTGACTGAACTGGCATTTATCATTATAACACTTTCTGGCAAATGAAAAAGTACCCCACATAAGCAACCTGTGCTGACAGCATCACAGCACTAAATCCAACATGTATTGCTTTAGTAATAAGCAATATGACGATGTGATTAACAATGTTATGTTTATCAATGGACTGAAGGAGAAACTAGTGTCTGACGGGCCATGAGCCGAGCACGGCAACATGAAGGAGATCACATTTCACGAGGTATTTGTGTGTTTTGAGTGACGAGAGGAGACATGGCAGAGTTACTCTCTCAAAGAAAACTAAAACTGATCCAAAATGGCAACATTATGGGTTTGAAGCCGATGACAGAGGTGTCTTAACTGGCCATAAGCGATGCGGTGCACCATTTTGAGCTGAATTTTGTCAGTCGCCTTGTTTGTATTTATTCCTGTAGCTTTGAAAGTGCTGCAATGGACAAGGAATGGCTGATTTATAAGGCTGAAATGAGAGATTATTTATTAAATACCTGTTTATTTCACTACAAAAACCTAACTAAGGTGGCTGGAAGGAGATCTCCAGAGAACTAAAAGTTTCTGGTACATGACCGTTGCTAATAACAGCCAAGGCTACTTGCTGTTGACTGTATATTGTATGTCATTTCCAGTAAATATCACAATTTAAAATGTGTACTGTTTAAAAAGTACAAATGTAGTAAGATAGCAAGTATTCATTGGTCTTTTGAGTGCCTCTCCAGCATGATCTCGAGCACACAGCTGATATATATATGGTTTGTTTACATGACTCAACAGAAGTGCATATTTAACAGATTCAATGTGGAAAGAGATGTTATGTGATGCAATGTGATAGTTTGATGCTCGTTTGCTGGTGGGACACGGTATCATTATGTTCCACTTGGGAGCAGCTGCTGAGTCAAGTGCGATAGTTAGTGGTAAAATTCGGTACACCAGTCTGGTCTGATATTTTGCTTCATATCAAACTGGTTTTAAAATGTTTAGAGTTGGGCAATATGGCGGCAATATACTGTAGGATAAAAAAGTGTCAGTTGACAGAGAGTGTGTCATATCATTTAACTTAAGGTGGCTCTCCCTTTTACCTCTGGTTGTGTTGAACTGTTGCAGGCAGTGCTGCTAAATCATTAAACAGTTAAGCCTTAGAGCAGTGTTGGATTTATAGGATTTTTACATCACTAATCAGAAGTACCTTAATTTTCCAAATTTTTAATTCAGTGGCTCAGCCAAAAGCAGACATTTTATGTGGTCATTTTATCTATAAGAACCTCTCTTTATATTGTATAAAAGATCAATGTCACATACCTGATTGACAGATTTTAGGTACTTCCATTTGCAAATATCAAATCCAAGCTCTGTTACAGTAAAGCACTTAACAATCGCACATAATAGTATCAGTCTGTCATGATTGTTGTAAATCTGTCAGTGATTTTAGTAATTATTTTATTATTGCCTTCATTGTACTGCTCCCTGCTCTCCTTTATCTTTCCCCAATCCTCTTTGTGTCAGCCTGCATGCCTTGTTTACAGAAACATTTTGAAGCTTACTTGATTAACTGCTACTTCAAACCATTGCCACTATTTCTTTTTTTTCTTTTTTCTTTTTTTTCAATCAGCTAATCCACCGACCATTGGTGTGAAAACCCTGACCTTAATTGATCTCCTCTGCTTCTGGCACTGTTTCTCTCAGAGAGTAGTTTCATCTTTTGCGTTTGATCATAATGAGAGTTGTTAGCCTCCATGACAACCAAGACCGCTGGGACAGCCGAGCAATGCTGCGGGCTGCTTATTTACAAAGATGGAAATAACATGGCTGGCTGTAATTTTGGGCACAAATAGTACAGAGGGAATTTTAGATGGCTAAGCACTGTGAAAATCAGGAAAATAGAACAATGTTACCACAAAATATTGTTATGCATACGCTATTTAGAGGAGGTCAGCTTAATATTTAGCAATTTCCTCTCACACGGTTATGAAATTGATTCAAAGTTTGCCCTTAATTCAGTGTCAGAAATTATTAAGGGCCACGGGCCATTTGGCCTGCAGTTTATCCAAGAATGCCCCCAAAAGCCATGTTCCGGGGGCCAAAATTGCCCCCAAGTTTTTGAAACAACTATATGTATTTATATTTTTAACAGTATTACAATCTGACATTAAAGTATAATTTTATTTTCATTAAATTAATTTACCGTCACGTCTACAACTCATTTTCCAGACATAATCAACAAGATTGCACTGATTACATGAGAGTAATCTGACAGAGAAGGGGATGGGGCTTTGCTGTACCATAAATTTAAATTAACCATTTCTTGGGTGATCTGTGTCTACACAATGACAAATTAATGAAAAATTAAGGTAGAATGAATGTTATATTTTAAATTAACTTACTTCCAGGATTGCATCTAAGGAATTTATAGTAATTTGGCCTTTTTAACAGTAAAAGTAACTGTAATGTGGTGAAACATTAGTACTGCTATCAGTAGATTAATGGTTAAATCATCACATTTAAACTGGTTGAATTATAGGAAATCTGAGTGATATTTTGCAACCATAACTTTATGTAACCCATTATTTATTTCATTTATAGTGGTTTCTACTGAAGAGTGAAGACACTATCTTAGTTGGTTTTGCTTTTCATGTGCTTATTGTTAGAACATAATTACAATTTTTTGATGGCCCCCAAACATTTTGAAAATGCCCCCATTTTTTAGACCGTGGGGGCCAAAATTGCCCCCAAAATATTTTGTTAATTTCATACCCTGCCTTAATTTAGAGTTTATTAAACTATGGTTGCCATTACTACTGCTCTTTTGGAATTACCATGACAGCACATGACAGGTGGACTTAATTACTAATTGAAACATTACATTTGTGATTGAATAGTCAATTAAATATTACATTAGTAAAATGAAATGCTCTTCAGAATGTGTTGTTTAAAATATTTAGCCACTTTTAAATAGGGATGCACAGGTTAATAGGCAGAACCTCAGTATCGTCCGATATTGCCCTTGTTGACTGCTATCAGCAAATATGATGGCATTCACCAATGGCAGTGGTCGATGTATTCTGTTGCGTAGACTAAAACGCAGAGTTCTAGACTACAGTGTCCCATCGTCCCAGGGACAATACAAAACATGTTTGGGAGCAACAGAGATCTTCCTAGAGACGCTGTCAGAGCAAAAGGACGCATTAAGCTCCGATGCTTCAGAGTTTCCCTGATAATGCAACATTGTAATCAACAAATCCACGTTGACACTGGCAGGAGGAGAGCTAGTTAACGTAAGCTGCTAGCTGTTAGCAGCTGGTGGCCAGAACAGCTAAAGGAGGTTGCGTTGAGTTACAATATGATGCGTTGAAGCTCTGCTCAGTAAAAACGAGTGCGAGCAAAGGTAAATTATAACATTCTTATGATGTGGTCAAAAGTAATCTTGTAAAAAAAGTTTTTTGGAAAGAAACTTGAATAAATACAGTTGTTTGAAGGAGAAATTTGTCACAGCGATATAAAATAGATATTAGAGGGGGAATTATGATATAGTAAAAAGGTGTTTGAAGCAGTTATTAAAAACGTCACATTCTTATGTACAAGAAGGTTATGTTAAAGGTTGTTTAATAACGGTGTATGATTGAATTTGTGCTCATTCAAAGATAGTGCAAAGAAGGCCTGAATGACTTTAAAAGAGTCCAGTTATTCTTTTATGATGAAGGTTTCTTTTTTACTTTGGCATAAAAGGGGGAATAACAACAACAACAAAACAAAGGCCCAGAATTCCACAATTGGTGAATCCCTCCTTAAATTAACATTTAAAGATTTTACATATTTAGACGATTCAGTGATAAACAAATAGATCAATCATGTTATGGTTTGTTAGCGCTCTGGTGTATTTGTTGGTTAGCTAATGCTCATCGCTACCGAAAAACAAAGTTGAGAATAAAGTCGAAAGCAGTGGGCACAACTTTTCCTGGCCTGTATTGTTTGATTGTCTTTATCACTTGAAATGTGGATGAAAGACTTTACAGACTATATTTTTTTAGTGTTAGTAATATTCTGTTTTAGCAGATATTTGTCCTTCATGTTTTTGGAAGAAAGTTTCAAACTTTTGAATGTGATGCATAGTTCTTCTCCAATGAATCTTTGGCCTTCTGAGTTGTTTTTCCACATTACGACTTGTCAAGTCCACAGACTTTTTTCACGCACCTGCCTTGACAGTCTTTTCTTGTTGAATTGTACTGAAGTTGTTAAGGATGGCCTCAAACACGACAAAAGGTATGAAAGCCCATTGTTGTCATTATGTGATTGTCAAAGTGCTGTGGTCCTCAGGAGCTGAGCACGATCCCAGTGGTGACACTTCAGTCATCTATTATCCGACTGCTGTCAACTATGATCATGGCTGTAAGCATTTTGTATCACGAGGAGTCAAACATTCTGTAGCTCTTCTCATCTTAGCTGCAATACTTGTCATATATATCTTTGTCCATTCATGTACAGTGTTGTCATGAGACGAGGACTACTTCTTCCAGGCTTCTTCAGTCATTTCTTAACATGGACTGCCACAACACAGTGATGTAGGTGGTGCTTCTTAGTCTCAAATGTTTAGTCTCAAATGTAAAACCTTCAGTGAGAAGTGGACCAAAATATGACCATTTCACATGCACATGTTAGCAGTAAACATCGCTCTTAACATAACACTCTATATCAACATAGAGTTTTTGGGGGGTAGCGGCTACAAGTTGTTTACACAACACTGACACGTCATCATCTCGTCACCTTTGTTGATGTGGTACACTCGCTCTAGCAGTTGCAGAGCAACATTATCATTAATGTACAGTTGTGTGTCTGGCCACCTGATAAATTCAGGTCCAATATTTGCTCTGTTTTTGGTCTCCACCAGCTCCTGAGAGAAATATCTGGCTCTTTAGGTGTTAAGTACTCCAGTACTTTCAGCACCTAGTCTCTAACTCTCTCTGTCTGTCATGGTGCAGTGCATTTAAGAAGAGTGAAGTGAACCAGAACAGTAAAGTTCTGAGCAGGATAGCTAACCAATGAGCTGAAACTTGCAAACCGAAAGGAAGCTTCTTATTTAGGTGATAATTCTATGTCAGTTAATCACAACGTCTTTAATAAAATGGGTTCATACACAAATACAAATAAAAACTCACATTTTTGATATGTCAATTTTCCATTTTTCTATCCAACATTCAACACTTAGAAAATTTGAAAAACAATTTCAAAATCTTGATTAAACATTGATCCGATAAACAAAAAATACCATTTTCAAAAAATGAATTAAATTTCCCAATTTCCTCATTTTAATTTTTAATATGGAAACTTGACCTGCTAAGAGTTACATGGACCTGATGTTGCTTTACCGTCCAGGGGATGCGCCCTATTTTTTACCTGAAAATGCTACATTGTAGTAATGTGATTGTGCCACTGATACTGTTTTGACTCATGTCGATGACTGACCCGATGATGCTGTAAAATCCTACACAGACAGGCTTTAACATCCTTCATACTATTTAAAAGTCAATGCTGTAATTAAGAACTGAGTGAATAGACCTTAAAAGTTCATTGAGATTGATTTCACAACATTCCCTTGTGCCTTGACCCGCTTTGAGATTGAGCTGATTGGCCGCCATTCAATCAGCGTTCCTCAACAAAACATTTCTCAGTAAAATTTCAAACAACTCTCAACCAAATTCATGAGGAATCGGAAGGCCCCAGAGACATTTGCATTGATCAAGGATTTACTTTCACACACACTCCCCTTCTCTCACTGGCTGTGATTCAAGGTCTTTTTGGCTTAGCTTCTAATTCCTGCTCTGCTGTTGGAGGGTTCAAACACACCCAGGGCCGCATTTCTAATGAAACTCCCAGGACCAGCCAGCATCCCCTTTCCTTGACTTTCCTTGTGTTGCAGACAGGATTACACTTCTTCAACAACAGCAGAAACAGGGATTTATCACCATCCCTGTAAATATGTATGTGTTTGCAAAAGAGTTGCACAATTATGACCGTGTGATGGGTAGTTGTTTTCTGTGCAGACAGCTTTTCACTTTGACCTGAAGCTTTCAGCGTTGAAAATCTCCTCCATCTAAGACCTTTTCCTTCATACTGTGGGCCATCAGCTTAAGCAGCACTGGCACGTTAATACTGCTGGCAGATTCTTTCTTGCCTCACGACAGGGGCTCAGCTCATCCCTCATCACACAAGGTTCTCCTCTCTTCAGATCTCCTTGTCTCTCTCCTCCTTTCTCTGGATCTCACACTCATCACGATTCTTCCTGCTAGTAATCACCGCACGGCGATCTGTTTCACTTACCTTGATTTCATCCATTCCCTCTGCACAGCTTGTTCATCATGTCATCTGTGTTTACTGACAGTCCGTGTTTGCTTGTACACATGCTCATCCTCTTGGTTTGCTTTGTGTGATATGATTAAAAGTGGGCTGTCCTTATCCAGAGAGGCTGACTAAATCCCCCTGTAACGGGGGATCAGTCGACAGAGCACTGGCTCTAATCTGGCTAATGATGTCAAATGTAGACGTGCTAAAGGGTTATAGATACATTAACATGTAACCTCAGCCAGGACAGCAGAAGGATGATAATATGCCTTGTCATGATGGTGTCTCACATGCCTTGGAAAGCTAGAGAACAAATACAGCTTAAACTCACCCTTACGTGACACTGCTGAGTACATTTACAAATGGCTTCCAGGAAAAGCAGACAGGCTGAAATATAAGGGGAATCCAAATTGCTGTTGTCATGTAAAAACCTCATAGCAGCAGTAATGTCTGTGCTTTAACCTCGGGAGGAGGATTACATGGCCCACTATAAATTGTGAAAATGTTATGACCCTTAAAAACCCTCTCAGAAGTCACTGCAGGATTTCAGAAGTGCTCCAGCCAGTAACAGTGATGTTTTTCTCCTCTGAAATGAGAAATTTTGGAGTTACTGGACATGTTTTTGGCAGATAGCGACAACATGCGACGCTGTGGTGTCATCCCCTCTGTGATTATGCTGTTCGACATGGTCAACTATCTATAAGCAAACACCAGTATCTAGCAAGAGTCATCATTATCTGTAGAGTTCAATTTTGCAGAAACATTTCTCATGCAGTTTAAAGGTTTTTATACTGCTTCACTTCCTGAATGTCAGGCTTCTGGTATCTAGGAGAATATTGGATCAAAAAAAATCTAGATTGAATACTCTTACAAGCCTAACTACATCCTGCATTAATAACCTAATAGAAACAGCTAACAGCAAGTGCATAACGAAACAATTACCATTATACAGAACATTTTAAATCAGTATTTGTTATTCAGAATATTTTTAGGTTTCATTGTCTGGCGTGGATTTGAGAACAGGTATCGTCACTCGATACCTTTAAAATATCAACCAGAATTACCCTGTGCCAAGTAGTTTAAAAACATCTCCAGTCAAATGATCTCTGCATTCAATCCTTTTTTCACCAGGGCTCTGATCCCATACCATACCAACTCTCCACCAGATCAGCAAACTTTCTGTTGCTGCCATCTCTGAGTTGCTGTTTTTGGCAAACGATCAGCTCACTGCTTGCCCAGTTAGCATGAGCTAACATAGGCAGCAGTGGCTAACATCCAACATCGCGCCATTAAACGGTCCTAACGAACTCACACCGGCATCGAAATGACTTGACTCAGTTGTTTAAGGCGTTGATAATCACAGCCATGTGATGCAGTCAGTTAGACCAGTCACTATGTGTGTACGGCCATAACTGTCCCCGGTGCAGAGCTCACACTCCCACAACAGCACCAGTTCAGTGTGCCAACATGCCACCAAAACATTTGCCACTCTGTTTATATTATGAGTATCGAATCAAGTACTCGTATGGTATTGGTATCATTTTAAGGATACTAGTATTGCAACGTATTATTAAATATTTTGGGATCTCAAGTCCCCTAATGTACGTACTTATATTTACACCTATGCACAATGACACGGCAGTTGATTGTAAAAAAAAAAAAAAAATCACTGGTAACACAGCATAAAATGTCAAACCTTTGTCATTGCAGAAACTGTTAAAATCTTGCATGAGAGGACATTTTACAATGCTTGCTTTTCTATAAAGCAACGGCCTTACAGCCTTGCAAAAATCTAGCAGATACAAGAACATCACAAAGCAGGCAAATGTCACCGTCTCTTCCATGATGCCAGTTTAAAAGAGAGTGGCCACAGTCAACCAGAAGGACGTCAAGGCCACTGGAAGAGGCTAGCGTGTGCTCTTTCATAATCAGTGGCATCATTGTGAATGTGCCCACCACTGAATCTGTGTCTAGCGATGATGATTCCCCACATAGACGGTCCTACAGAACCAAACAATGTCAGGCTGTGGGTTGCCAGGTTGCAAAATGCCCCTCATGCTGCTCTTCTGTCCCCTTAAAATCCAGATCATTTGAGATTTTCTTAGCCCTTTAATAAGTCTTTAATGAAAGGGTAAAAACACATTGATCAGATGTAATGAAAGTATATTTTGTCTGAATAATAGTTTCAAAAAATTCCATGTCTCTGTTCAAGGCAGTCACATCCAATTTCATAAAGATGATGTAGAAACAGAAATGAGGTGGTTGCATGGTTCATGTGTGCTTTAAAACACTAAAACAAATCAGAGCTATCGTTTTTGTCAAGTTTTTAGTTCATGCTGACAATGTCAGGGAGGGACATTGACTGATAAATAAATTAAACTATCTGAAGCAGGTAGAAATTTCATTGTGTCGTTTTATCTTCGAAAACAGATATATATTTTGAGATAACAAAATGCATCGTCTTAGATCAGAAGCTTATAGAACAAATATGAACACCACAGAATTGAAATGTGTTATTTTGAGATGTGATAACTGAGTTGTAATTGCAGAATAAAAACAGATTAGAATTTAGATAATAAGAATTGAGTTGTGATCTTGAGATAACAAGCTTAAAATAAAAGGATGAGCAGCAATTGCCACTCTGAGCTTCTGTAGAATCAGTTCTTTGACTACTAATCTGCTTTTTGCTGCCTTTGCATGAGTGTACTTAATTTTCTTTCTTTGTTTGATTCCATCTTTTTTAATTTTTTTTTTTTACTCCTCTTTGTCTCCAGTTGCTGTTCTCCTGAAGGATGACTACTTTGTAAGAGGTGCTGGCCTGCCTGGGCGTTTTAAGGCTGAGAAGATGGAGTTTCACTGGGGCCATAGTAATGGATCAGCAGGCTCAGAGCACAGCATAAATGGCAGAAGGTTTCCTGTAGAGGTAAAGCATCCTGTCACCACAATACACTTTGACAAATGTGCAGTATGGGGTCTTGAGGGTCAATGCTGAATATTGGTGCCTGGCTCAGAATTGAGGCAGCACATTAATGCTTCTGAAATAGTTTTGCCTCATTTCTAAGGGCTCATTTATGCTCAGTGTTAGATATGTATACAGACTCTGTCCGTCCGAACTCTGCATTCATTTCATCCGTATTTGTGTATCTAAAGGCTTACAGATACAGATGAAATGGATCAGTACTACCAGAGATCATGGGGGCAGTGTAGCATAGTTAAAGCGAGATACGATCGTAGGAGATGACGACGACATTAATAAAATGGCACAATGGAAGGAATCGGTTATAAAGTGAAAAGAATTCTCATCCACATGTTGCGATGTATTTGATGGCCTCACAGACCACCACCATCTACAAAGCTTCGGTCGTAGGGACTTGGCTTGGGTTCAAGTCCAGTATGGACAAAGGTTCTCCTTTATGACTGTTGGATACGCACCAAGCGGTTATCTTGGGGTCTGAAAAGTAAAGCCAATGTGGAAGCACCCAAACCTGCAGTCTTTCTTTTGGCCAGCAGTGGACTACTCCACTGTTTGTTAAAAGAAGTCAAATTGCATAGAAGTCAATGAGAAAATGACTACTTCTCACTTGATTTATTACCTCAGCAAACTTTTTCTGGATAATTTAATGGTCTCAATCTCTAGTTTCAAGTCGTTTTCAATACGACATCATGGTTATTTGTAAAATATGGTCCCATTTAGAGTAAAATAGACAATAAAGCAGGATTTGCTTTAGGGCGTGGCTATCTTGTGACTGACTAGTCACTACTGCAATGTCCTCTGGTTCTCAGTCCGATCCAACCCTCGCTTCTCCACAGCTCCACCCTCTTGCCCAACTATGGTCACTTGTAGTTCCAAAAAACCAAAATGGTGACAGCCAAAATGCCACATTAAGCTTCAAAACAGTTCACAAACCAGTGGGTGATGTCATGATGACTACTTCTTTTCTACAGTCTTTGGTATGCACGAAACAGAGCCTAAACAGGTTCATTTCACACGTTACTTATAGATCCACTTTATCATGAACTTTCAGACCAGCAGTGTAATTTCTGCTTGTGCTTGTGAGTGATAACTTTTCCACGAGCATAAACTTTTCTTTCTTTTTCCTCCCAAGTTGCTGCTCGGTTTGCAAACACAGAGTTTGTTTTAGTCTTTGTGCATAGCGATCAATGGATTGCAAAATTCAAGCAACATATATCATTAAAATAGAAGAAAAATACAATAGAAAATATGAAATGTGCAAGAAATGTGTAAAAATAGATAGGCTTTGAAAGTGGAAGAATAGCACATAAATTTACAAAACATTGACCAGTGGATGTACAAAAGTTCATAGCAGGAATATAAAGAGAAGAAGACGTGCATGTGGGGAGACAGAAATGTGCGTTACTGTAACGCACCACATCAGAATGTCAAGGATATTACATCAATGAAAGCAGAGCGAAAAGGCATTGAGAAAAAATAAAGTTTTGGAGTTGTTCAGATGAGAAGAACATTGGAGCAGAAGTTCGTACTTTACTTGCTCTTAAAGAGTTCTCGTTTTTTTTTTTTTTTTTTGCACAAGGTCACAACACATTTCTCAATGCCATTAGTGCCAAAAGACAAATAGCAGACAAAAGAAACAAAGGGAGAACAGACTGCAAGTAATAAAGGAGAGCAGAGAAGAAATTATCACCCACTCTTGTAGCACAGATATAAAGGGTATTAAGTCTGAAACCTTTTGGTATTATTTATTCTGGCTTCTGGATTAAAGCAGAAATCCAACTCTTTTTATGTGGTGCAGAGAATTGGTTATTAGTGCCTTTCAAATTTTCATGATTTACAATGCCATTTCTATTCATTATCTAAAATGAATTTGCAAATTTGTCATTTTGTGGGGTTATGTACAGTTTTTTTTTACCCCCCTCTATTGTCAAATGGTTAATAATTAGTGTAAATATAACAGTGTATGAAAACAGGAAATGGCTGTTAGTGTGCCTGTCTGTCCTATCTCCAAACACGCAGCTAGAGTCCTCCTCTGTTTGTTTCTTGGCCCTGTTCTTTGGAGCCCTCTCTGCAGGCACAGCTTTTGACGCTGAATGGCTGAGTAATTAGATTTATTTTTGCCACATCACTTTGTGTTCAATGTAGTGTTAAAGGGCACCGGATTATATACAGCCATTATAAAGCTGTTGTGCGTATGGCTCCTTTGATGGTGTGCTTCTAAATAAGACGATGGAATTCACTTTAATGACCAGTTTAGGCAGCCGTTAGAAAAAAGGCTGAAGAAGAATAAGAAAATTATGCCCTCCAGATACATCATTTATAGATGTGAAATATAGATTTGTAGCTTAACATGTCTTTGTGTGTAGACCAAGGTTTTTGCTTCGACCTCTCTGTCAAACATGGATTGCTACAGTAATGTGCTCGAAATTTAAAAGGCAGATGCTCTCTTTATAAAAAATGAAGAACATAATGATGCATGCCTGCAATTGAAAGTGCAAAAAAATAGTTCACAAGGGGGCAGAAACGTTGAAAAAGATAGCTTGATGATACAGTCTGATTGCAAACCTTGACCTGAAACAGAGAAAAAACGGACCCGCGCCTCCTGCGCGTTTTTACACAGAACCAAATGATGGCAATGTCATTCCACTCCAGCTCTACGTATTACAGATCTGGCTCAGAGCCAAAACAACTCAGTCACCCCTTTCCGCGATCTACCTTATATACAGAACAATGATGCAGCATAATGGCGCCATATTCCCACCTTGAATAGGCATTGTTAAAGTGGCTATTGACAGCAACAAGATTACTGTGCCCCCTACAATTTAAAGAATATAATTATCCTGTCCATGTTTTTGATTTACCGATGTCTTGAATTTGAATTTGTTTTGTAATGTAAATGTCTTGCCTCACCGACTAGCCACATTAACATGCAGACACGTAGTGCTCACTGCCCACCCTCTGTTTTCCACTGAAAACAGAGGGTGGGCAGTGAGCACTTCGTTTGTATCCCCTAAACCCCTTTGGCCTTATGTTAGCACCACAGGCTGTGCTAACTACGCTAAAGATGCTAACAGAGCTAACAGTGGTGGTAAAGGAGGTTTGTGGGACAGCATTACTAGCGGTTATCACTGAATGAGCGCCACCGCTAGCTAGCTGCCATGTGACCCTGCTGGTGTGCAGTGCATAGTGACTAAGGCTAACGTTAGCTAACCACTGTAGACCGGAGGGTGGGCAAGGGGGCAAGGGCAATACACAATGATTTTACCTATAGACCGACATGCATAACAAGTCAAAAATATTCGCAGTGGTTAGCCAATTAATAGTCAACTGTTGAAATACCTATTTTGACTTAAAGAAGTTCAATAACCATCAGATTGAAATCAGTTTAAAAGAACACATTTGGGAAAAGAGAAAGAAAAACATGACTGGTGTTCTAGATGAAAACCTCCATATCTCAAAAAAAGCATTGATTTAGAGTATGTATGCTAATAATGCAACAAATATACAGATTTAAACTGACTGTGACTGAATACACAGCAGCAGTCTCAAATGAAGCTCTGCCAGTTGAATGCAAAGAAACTCTGATGTATTTTTCATAACTCAAAGGATGGGTGACCCTCTTCTTGTACTATTTATTCTGTCAGCACGCATGTTGAGAGCACGCGGCCCTGATAGGATTAACTTGACATTCAGTACGATGGGGATAGAGCTTTTGCAAGAGACACCATGGAGAAATGTTCGAAGAAACGACAACATTAGGGGGAGCCCCTCACCTGGGAGAGTGTGTGCCCCATGTACTGAAGGCTGAGTCCTCAGTAGCAGGCTGGATTTATCTGACCCGGGGCCCTTTGCTGCATGTCGTCGACCCTGTCTCTCCTCCCTGTCTTGCCCATTATCAGCTATCCTGTCTAATAAAAGCAAAAGGAAAAAAAAAAGGCATAAATAATCTTCAAAAGGGAAAGAAAAGAAATGACAACATTAGGAAAAACAGGGCGAACAAAAACAGCCTCTCATGGCAACCTAACAGCCATATCCTCATGGGAAATGCAGTAGTCTTTGCTACAGGATGTACAAAAAGGAATATTCCCTCCACATATCCGCTAAGATGTTTCCTGTTAACTACATGCTGTGTATGTACACGGTACAGCAGAAACAATCCAGAGTGGGTGGTCTGCTTTTTTTTTAAACATTATTCTCTTTATCAATAAGTCAGCCTGCATGTATCAAACATTATGCATGTTTTCACTCTCTGAATTGGAAGGTGAAAGAGTGAAATCGAATGATGAATGGTTGAAGGGGAACATGATTATGCAGGATCTAGCCTTTGGCCATTGAACTGCTTCCCTGCAAGATGTGACATTTTCATATTTCATATTTATGCCTTGACAGAATTTGATGTATTTGAGATCATATTACAGCCGACACCACGTGCCCAGCGGAATTCCACGTTCATAAATGTTTGTGTTTCACATACCCACTGATCTCTTACAGCAGAGGTTATCTTTTGTTTTGTTGTGTATATGTTTTGTTCTTGGATAGTTGGGCAGCGTGACCTTGGAGGTTGAGCTCCGGGGCTTATTTGTCTCTGCTAAACAGAGACTGTTTTCCAATCTGCTGTCTAATTATCTCTCCACTTCAAATGAGTCGCATTCAGCCCTGAGTCGCTTATAGCACACTGCATAAAGCATTTACTCTTATAGTGGGGGGAAAAAAACCTCAAAAGTGTTTATCCCACCTGCCCAGAAGCTTGTAAACACACACAAATATAGTCCACATTTGGGTACAGGGGGTGGAAAGACAAATTCATTGAGCCGCATTATAGAGCTGCTCTGCCTTTGTAACATGGTCATATAAAAAACAAAAACAGAAATAACCAGCCACGGCTGCTCGGCCTGTGGCTCCTGAGCTTGACATTAATCTAACCACGGTCTTTTTCATGGGAGTGAAGTGGGGAAATCGATAGATGGACCACCTGTTCGCTCAAATAGCACAATGAAAAATGAAAGAGTGGATTTTTTTTTTTCTGCCTCAGGGTACCATAAGGAGATCTTTTCTAATAATATATTAGGGTGTCACCAAGGTTAGATTAATTATACATGGATTACAAATCACACCTCGGAAGGGTAGGCACAGTATGAAGTGTTGGGGTGGGTGTACGGCGTGGTACATTTCAGAAAGAGAAAAGCTCCGGTAGCACTGAAAGCATAGCTGCGCTCAAGACTAATGGGGATGGATATGGTGGCCCTGAGAGCTCAACACACATACTAAATAGAGAACACACAGGAAACACTCCCAAACACATAAATGGCATCGAACTGAAAACTGATGAACACACCTGAATAAGCAACCGCCGTGGTTTGTGGCACAAGGAGTTAGTGAAGTCAACAACCCACGAGCAGTGCTGGAAAATGAGTGAGCAATGAATTGGTTGCTAAAGAGAGTAAGGCTAGGTGTATAGCAGATACTTGCAATAATATGTGAATAACGCAATAAGAATTGGTAAACATGTTTTCTTTCTCTGCTTGTGTTTTGTGTATTTGTGTGTTAAGTTGCAGTGCACTGACCTCTCAAGGCCACCATAGGATAAAAGGATGATGCTTGTTTATAGCATCCAGCTCGCAACAGCCATTATAGAAACAACACATGACACAGAGTGAATATGTTCTTTCACGGAGCCATATTATAAGTGACAAACGAGTCAGTGCTTTTTGTATCGATGATAATGTTGCAACATTGGCTCTTACACTGAGTCAGAATTCTCGACTTCCATTCTAGATGCAGCCCGGTGCGTCTGCTTTAGAAAACATGGATGCCTGCAGCAAAGTGATGTTTGTATGGCAAGTTTATGGGCTTCAAAAGCTTCTATAGATGACCAACATCAATTACCAATAGAGCTGGGTTGTTTCTCAGTTTTTCCGGTCTGGTCCGGTGTATGAGCGCAAACCAGACTGATTTTTTGCAAACTGGCTAAACTGACATTTGTAATTATAACACCTTCTGGCAATTTAGAGAGTACATCAGCAGCAGCCTGCGCCCTTTAACTTATATTGCATTGGTAATGAGATAAATGACAGCATGATTAAGATCATATTATGTTTATTGACAGAATCAGGGAGACTAGTATCTGACAGGTCCTGCGAAATTTACTGCCGAGCTGAGCACCAGCAACACAAAGCATATTAAAGAGGTGAGGTTGGAGGGGAAAGAGCAGCTCATGTTGTGTGTTTATTTTTTATTTTTTATTTTTGCTAAAAAGTAGGGATGTCCGATATTGGATTTTTTGCTGATATCCAATATGCCGATATATAACAACTCATTTGGCCAATAACCGATACCAATATTGATATATCCACATCGTTCCTCACCTAATTTTAGTGATTTAAGGCCTCTTCTGTAGGAAAAATTAACATCATATAAATGCGAACTCTTATCATGATGGAGACATGAAATAGAAGCTTTTCAATGTATGTAATATTCATTCATTGTGCAAAGTCAAAAATAGCATACTGGTCGATTCTGATCATTTTAAAGCCAATATTGGCCGATGACGTGCCCATATTATCGTGCATCCCCACTAAAAACGTAATGTGTTTTGAGGTGACGAGACAAAACCTGGCAGTTAATCTCTCAAGAAGTCTAAAACTTCACCAATATGCTAACATTTTGGATGTGAAGCCTATGAATGAGGTGTCCTGACTAGCTGCTGGCAACGCACTGCAGATTCGTGCTGATTCATGAAGTTGAAATGAAGAATTATCTCCATAATTGCATTGTATTTCGCTATAAAAACCCAAATAGGATGGCAGCTGGCTGGAGGGAGATCACCAGAGAGCTGAAAGTGTCTGGTAAATGACCGTTGCTAATAACAGTCTACTTGCTTTTGGCTATATTGTGTGTCATTTCCAGTAAATATCACAATATAAAACGTGTTTTCTGTTTAAAAAGTACAAACGAAAGCAAGAAGGCTGCTCACCCATCTTTTAAGTGGTAACATTCTCAGTCTAATCACGAACGCACAGCTGATATTTACGTGGTTTGTTTACATGATGTAACAGAAGTGCAAATGTAAAGGACTCAGTGTGAACAGACTGATGCTACTTGATGCAACGTGATAGTAAGATGAATGTCTGCTGTTGGGACACATGTCATTATGATCCACGCGGGAGCGGCTGCTCAGTTCACTACACCTAGTGGTTTGGGGTATACAGGTCCGGCCCAATGTTTAGCATAATATCAAACTGGTTTGAGCCCAACCTTTATTACTACAGTGAAGAGAAACAGCGTATAAAATAAGTACACTGTCTCAGTCATCTTAGCTTATAACATAAATCAGTTTTGTGCATTTTTTTGTGTGGACGTAGACAGAGATGCGCATGTTCGCAATGACTCAAGCTCAGATCAGCTGGCAGCTACAATGTTACAGCATGTTTCACAGCATAAACACTACATGGAATACCGCATGAAGTAAAATTGGGAAAAAGGTAATTCTGCTTTTGGCTCAGTTTTGTTTATAATGGCGAACTCTGGCTTGCTGGATCTTGCCCAAGTTTCTGACTTGGAATTCCGACTTCAATGATCGTTCCATTGCATTATTCTATATCGCAGGTAATTATTTTCCGAGGTCAGAGTACAGTGGATTGCAGTGTTAGTATAGTGTCAACATGAAAATGGGATGACCATGAACAAGTCAAGCAAATGTAGCTCTTTGGTGACTCTTTTCAGTTCTTTCTATAGCAGACGTTAGGCTGTTTTCTTGTAAATGTAAATACATCTGTGTTTACTGACACTCTCATCCTGTTATCTTTTGCTGCCCTTTTTCATTGTCTGTGGAGTTCTTTGTCAGTAACGTGAAATGTGAAACACCAAGCGTCATGTACAAGTTCAGTAACACCTACTGATTTTCAAATTTTCTGACACTTTTATGGTTCTTGAAAATTAATGTTGTAGCACTTAGTGGGTGCTCAAGTGAAAAGATAAGGCAGTAGGTTTTGAGAAAATCATACTGTGTTAAAAAAGACACATTTACCTGTTAACAACAAAATGCTTCGGCAGCACAGCTGTAAAGAATAAAGTAAGGAAGGAAGAATAAATTTGTGCTGCTGTGATAAATCTAAGATCTCTCTGCACACAAACTTATTTCTTGTAGTTTGCTTGTCTTGCCTCAATATCTCGCTGTCTTGGGAAATCATGCCAAACATGACTCTGTTTTTCACCTGTTCGTGCTAAAATGGAACTTGGGAATGCAGAGCAGCTTTCAGCGCTTGTGTTTGCACTCACTTTGTGCTGAGAAAAAAAAAAAATTGAGGGCTTATAAAGTGAATTTAGACTAAAGAAGGGCTCTGGAGATGTGGACAGTCTGGGCTGTCTACAGAGAAAAACTGGAGGTGAATTATAAAGCTCAGATAATGTTTTGTTTGTCTTTCAGTTTCCACCTGTTACCTCTGGTCTCTCGCCAGCTGTTGCTGGTTATTGGTACTCACAATTTTTCTAGATTTGTTTTTATATATTCCTCTGTCCAACAGTATGGTTAATCTTGTACTGACAAAAACAAACGCATGAATGTGTCTGAATGTCTTAAGAGATCTTAAAGATTGGTCAGACCACCTGTCTGTCCTACTTCAAATCAACAACTTGCAGCAATATCTGTGGACGTGAATGATGTTCCACAACGAGGGGGCTTTTGTGCCAGAGCTCGCAAACATGAAGTGAAACCAAGCGTGCAATCAAGTTATTCAAATCGCTTTCGGCAACATTTATTTTTATTGGCTGCCATGAAAGTGTTTGACAATTGAATATCGCGTTTTCCAGCGCGCCGTTAATAAGAGCAGGTCACGTGAGCCAGTGTCAGTGAGTAAATGAAGCCTAAGGGGGGCAGCTTAATTGGGTAATGTAGTTAATAACATCTGAAGGGTGATGAATGGCTGGAGCTCTTTCTTGCTGAGTTCTCACACAACAAATTAGTTCTATTAAAGGCTGCAGTTAAAGGAACTCTGAAGGAAACTGATTAACTTAAATTATTTGGATTGAGTCATTTTGTACCTGGTTTAGGCCTTTCAGTACACATTAATGGATTTATCCTTATTTATACGCCCATTTATTTAGACGTTTTGCATCTGTTTTCAGCACAGCCAATTGTGGCTGGGTTTTTTTTCCCCTCCATAATTTTTCTTTGAACGAAGAAAAAAGGCAAGCATACCCTTTAATTAAATCAACATCTAGAACCTTTTTTATTGCCAATTAACTTGGTTCAGTGACATGAAAGGGTTTTTCATTTTAAAGAGGCTCGAGACAGCGAGATGATGGACAGCTCCAATTGCTACTTTTAGAATCATTTGCTGATTGTGATCAGCACTACCATAATACGTCTGCTTTGAAATGAAAGGAATGAAAATCTCCTCTTTCTTTTTTTATCGGAAACCAGAGCCCTGACAGGTATATGATGTCTTCAGTGTATGATGGTTTTCACACTATTTTCCCATAAGCTTTGTTGTGAAATCAGAAGTGATGTTGTGGGTTATTTGGGGTAATTGGAAGCAATGATTAGAAGCATGCCATTCTGTTAGATCTCACCGCAGGTAAGAGCACACTCCTGCAGCTCTCCTCTCAGCTCCATACTTGTCTCTGTGAGGACTGTTGCCCTGAGGAATGGGATGCTGTATTTCTCCAGCATCCCCCAGGAGTGGCAGAACACAAAAAGGAATGGCACAGATTATGGGAGATTTATGGGAGTGATAAATACACCCTCTTTTATGCCCCTCATAACAGCTTTTCATCAGCTCCTCAGCAGTGTGTCCAAGTGATTGATGACAGGACTGTTGGTTCTCCTTGTCCACTCCTCAAGCTGTTTATGCTCTGTTTCCCATCCCAGATGCAGATCTACCTTTACAATTCAGATGACTTTGACAGCCTCAGCGCTGCCATCAAAGAAAGACGCATCATTGCTGCCATGGCGGTCTTCTTTGAGGTAAGGTATCACCAGGTTTGAAGGTCAAGACAAATGTAATCTGAGGACAAAACAAACTACACGAGTACACCAAGGCTACATCCACACTAATACATTTTTATTTTAAAATAGTCTCCATCTATACTAACACACCTGACAATGCATATTTCATAATCGTTCATTTACACTGGGTATGTGCATGCCAATGTAAACAGAAAGTAGATTGTCCGCTGTATGGCTCGTTGCTTGGTTACAGAAAATACTACTAAGAAAAGCAAGACCGGAGATTTCTTTGCTTGGACCAACAACAAGATAGAACTGTTACCGAAAGTCACACGAGTACAAGACGGTGAAGCAGTGGAAAACAGATTTGGAGTTGTTGCAAAGCAAATACGGCGACATATTAGTGTGGTAGCTGGAGCATTATCCATCGCCGGAAGAAGCCATGGCAATGGGAAAAGAGTACCTACACAAAAGGGATGTAGACCTAGCTCTAATGTTGTGGCCCGACACATCGAGACCCAATCAGAAGGTGAATGTGGGTCTTTGTGTTACTGTTTTCAAAAGTCTACGTTTACGCCCATCCAGACTAAAACGCAACCCCAAAACTAAAACTAAAACGGGGTCAGCAGCCTATTTTAAAGGTCTTTGTTTAAGGGTTTCCAAAACACTAAAGTGGTGTGGACGCTTAGCGTAAACGTAGCAATAGTTATGCGTTTTAAACAAAAAGCTATTAGTGTGGATTTAGCCTTATACCTACAGTGCACTTGAACATAGATATTTTTATCCATGTTAGTGGCATAGTTCAAGGGATGGCATGGTCTGTCGTTCGTCAGTCCACCTCTTTTGTCGAGACTGATATATCTCAACAACTATTGAATGGATTACCATGAAATGTGATACATGCACCCTGCCAGGATGGATTGTAAACACTTTGGTGATCATGTGACTTTCATGTAGTGCCATCATCAGCTCATAAATCTCTTTTTATCCAGTGATTTGGTTCATGATCAAAAACCTGCAAAACTAATGACATTCCCATCAGCCTCAGCTGTGCCATTTGTTAATCAGCAAATATTAGCATGCTAACACACTAAACTAAGATAGTGAACATGTTTAAAAGTATTCTGAACATCATTGTCAGTTACTGTTTGTAAATGCGCTCACCAGCAAAAGTAAAAGTAGAAGCCAGCCCCAGATTCACTCTTGTTTGGTGTTTCGCCTCAGTATATTTGTATTTTGTTTGGCATTCTATCTCTTGGATGCACACTGCTTATGGTTGGGCACCTGTACACTAAGTTTTTATAAAGCCCAACCTTACCTTAACGTTGTGGAGGCTCTAAGGCCAGACAATATATCAGTATTATGTTGATATCGTGATGTGAGACCACATATCCTTAGTTGTCTTTTCCTGTTTTCAAAGGCTGCATTGCAGTTAAGTGATGTAATATTCTGAACTTGCCACAGTTCTAGCTGTTCTATTATTTGTCTTTATCCACTTAGTCATTATATCCACATTGCTGATGATTTTTATCAAAAGTCTCATTGTGTAAGTGTTTGTTAAAGCACCAAAAGTTAACCCTACAATATCGTCCCAATATTGATATTGAGGTATTTGGTCAAAAGTACCATGATATATTATTCTCTCCCTTTTACCCAGCCCTGTGGGGATACATGACTAAAATACAGGCAGAGAGCAGAGTCTCTGTGGAGAACCGCTCCGCCACACACTTCTAGTGGGTCATTAGTGATGATTTAGAGGGATTACTTCTGTACTTCTGAGGCTATACATTGTTTTTTTTCAGGAAAATCCTGCATGTTGTATCTTTAAAGGTTAAATATCAGCATGTAGCATTGTCACTGTAAGCATGTTAGCATGCTGACGTTAGCATTTAGCTCAGAGCACAGCTGTGCCAAAGTACAGCCTCACAAAGCCAGTAGCATGGCTGTAGAGTCTCAGACTTGTTAAAACATATTATGCTCATGCTCAAAGATGCAACTGCTTGCAATTAAGCTCTGTCACAGGAGTTTCACTGCCCTTAAGGAAAGCCTTTGTAATGGCTCTTCATTTAGTTGTTGGTCATAATCACTAGAGGGAGTTTTTTTACAGGCTTATACTGTAAAATGACTTCATGTATTTAGTGCTTGCTGCCAACTGTAAGAAACACTTTAAAAACCTTAGGAGATGAGTGAATAAATATAACAAGAGCGGATAAAAATAAACCGAGAGACATGAAAGGAAAATAGAAAATCATACTAAGAAAATAAGAGTAAGAGTCAAACAGGATGGAAAAGGGACTCTGTAAAATGGTGAGGCAGTTATGACTTAAGGGGGATTGTTGTAATTGTATTAGTCCAATTATGAAATGGATGGAGACGTGAGTACGTTTTTGAGGTCAGTAAATGATAAATATTTATAAGTAGTGATCTTTGGCACCTGCATTGTGATAGGAGAGTTTCTCTCCGCCTAGCAGCTGATTATTTTTCTGTTTTCTGTGGCACATTGCAGATTGTTTACTGAGATACCACAAATTGTCCCCTGAAGGTTTGCGCGTATAAGCTCTTAATGGACAAGAATGGTCCTAATTTCTGTTAACAGTAAAAACATCTCAGAGATTTATGAAGCGTGAAAAAGCATACACCAGCAGCATGTGTTACACTCTTAATTTCTATTAGCACTATCTCTGCGATTGATGGCAGGCGATCAATGCGGGCTAACTTTCAGCTTAATAGTATATAGGCAAGGGTCAGCTCTCAGGAAGAGCGAGGCTGGAATGGGGACACAGGTGTTTGTAATGTAGGTCTACTGTCAGACACTGATAAAACGTGTGTGTACGAGGACCTAAATGCCTCCGCTGGGTCCTGACAGCCCTATTGCTTACTGCAATTAGCACCACCATACACAATCCGCTGAATAGCAGTTTACAATGTGAGAGTTTTTAAGCGGGCACACACACATTGGCGCAGATTTACCATTTCTAATCAATGAGCAGAGTTCTTCTTGTGCTCCCCAAAGGCCTATTAGTGGCCTCTAAGGTGTGCATATTATCCACATTCAGCATTCAGTTCCACACAATTATTCTCCTATGACTGACCTGAATTAATGTTGAGCAAGGGGAGATTGGTCCCCACATCCCAACACTGTTTTGTCCAGTCTTGTCTCTTAAGTAGGACATTGGGAATATTGTAGAATGTGGGGCTGAACAACGTATAGTCTTAAGCAATTTTGGAGAATTAACAGTAGGCCTAATAGATAAGCAGGGACTCAACGCTGGTGTTAGTCCTCTGGAGACGGCAAAGCTAACGGCCAAACAGCTTCATACAGCTACTGGATAATAGTGATCACAATACTGGAATTTCTAACTTTGATCTACTACCTTTAGAAATATCAATATTCAGTTACATTTTCAATTCCATAGGGACAAAAATGACATTTATGCCATACAATTTAATTTTTTTTTATTAAAAGATAAACATAACAAGGCTATAACGTGACAAAGATGACGTCTCTTTTCTTATTTAGAATCAGACAACAACAGAATGACTTTAGTAAACATTAACAGTAAAGCCCAGTTCAGACCAAAGATTCGTGATGAGACGAAACTGTTTTAGAGCATTGCAGAGAAAAGTTGCAGCTATGTGAACTGACCATCTGGACTCGACTCAAGCTGGCTGATGGTGTCCCCCCTGCAACTCAGCTGGTCAAATCGGCGGCTGGTGCTGCTCACTATATGTGCTTATGCCCCCTCTCACTCACACACGTTGTCATTGACTGATTAATTGGCGCTGCTTACTTATATTATTGTGGCGTATTTATCCATCTGATGTTTGTTTTATGTTTTTCGCCGTTGCATCACTACTACAAATGCAGCTGTAGCCAGTATCACACAAACACTATCCTCATTCATGTTTTAGGAGGCTACAAATTATATTCAGCCACAAAATAAGCCTGAAAAGCTGGAAATCAGAGCGGTGGTACAGAGAGTTGTTGCATACAGATGATACACCATCTCATCTAGTTGCATTGGTGTGAACCGGCAGGTTTTTAGAACATTCCAGAACTGCGCTTTGCAAGTAGTTGCATGTTTCAACTCGCATCCTCGTGAATCTTTGACCTGAAATGGGCTGAAGAGAGAGCAAGAAAGAGCAGCTAGAACCAAGTTATCAATACTGGAGAAAATTTATAGTGAAATCATTTCAAATACTTAGAGTGGATATGCATCGATAAACCAATATTTTTGACATCACTACCAGATACCACCAGCTACAGGAGGATACTAAGTAAGGTCGTCAGGGGTACAAAATGACAGACCTGGGGAATTTGTTCTGAGATCCAATTGGATGTGATCATTTTTAAAATTAATATGCCCGATTCATTTTTGCCCAAGATAATACAGACCCAATCCAGTGCATGTCCGAGAGGACAAAGACATGGATCTATTTTATGGAGCCAACAAACCTGGTAATTAAAATTGTTACTAAAAATGCCATCCTACTGCTAAAAATGTTTATCATGTTGGATACAACATACTGTTCTTACCTATCTTTTTGTATTATTTTAATAACGTTTAATCATATTTCAGATGGCTATTTTTATTTTATTCTCTAGTCACTTATTTTGTTGTTGTTGTGATGTGAGCTGCTGGTAACACCTTAATTTTCCCGGCTGAGGGATCAATAAAATAACCTACCTGAGTATCCTCCTCTAATTCCCCCAGTCTACACAAAACCACTCAACCACACACAGTACACTTAAAAGCTCTTACTTGTTGTCTTTGTCCACAATTTGCGTGGAGGAGGTCCAGACAGAAAAGGTGCCACTTGGTTTGACCTCTTTAAATTCATTTTCTTTCGGCTTCTTTTTCACTTCAGTGAATTAGGAATCCATCTTTCCTCCGTTTTGCCTCCATCTCGCTGGTGCTGCTGCTTAACGTTTTTATCACCTCACTTTCACTCTTGTAATCTGATCCTTATCATCACACACGTTACATACACAGGGCTTATGTGTTTCTCTCATGATCAACTCCAATCACAGGTTTTGTCAGGTCCACTCATGTGTTACACATAATTAAAAACAGACCTGGTGCCTGCAGTAATAGAAAGGGGCCTGACCCAGACCTGTACGCATCACGGGTCGCAACTCATGCCCTTTGGTATGTGTAGACCTGTGAGGGCCTCTAATACAAAGCTAATAAAATGATCAGACCTGTTCAGTGTCTCACTGAGAATGTTTATTTATGACGTTGTGTTGGTACAAGACAAGTTGTTCTCAAGATGATTTTGTGTAAAATGTAATAATATCAATGTTTCAAAAAAAGTATGATGACATTAGAGGTCTACATAAATCACAAACTGAATATTGATTATCAAGGTATTTGGTAGTAAATGCCATTAAAAATACACATCACAATATACAGTGATTTTGCACAACACCAGAAACAACAGCCTGGAAGATAACCAGAGGACTGAATCGACTCATCCGTGACATCAGCCTTCAAAATCTCCCCCAAAAATTGAACATCACAGACGTCACAGTAATAATAGATGGAATTAGATGCTGCCAGATTATATTACAGCAATGTTGCCCTCATTGCGTCCAGCCTGTGTATTTTGCTCATATTGATCGCCTTTAGTCATTATGTTAGATTATTCTAGTCTTGTAATCCCTTTTGTAATCCTTTGTCTCTGGACGTTTCCTGCAGCTGGGGCAAAAAGACAATCCAGCTGTGGACCCCATCATCCAGGGATTGAAAGGAGTAGTGCATCATGGTAAGTAATGGGAAAGTAACCCTCTTACGAACTCTGCTTGACAATGTTATATAATGATTGTATTGGGTGCATGTGCGTGTAAATATTTAGGTATGTAATTGTTATTTTTCTGTTTCTCTGAAATGTTTGTTTTTGTTTATTTACTGTCCGTGCCCAAATTTCCTCCACATGTAGCATTACTGATGGTATTAAGTTCATGTGGGATATTCAAACAGGAATTATCCCTTTATGAAATCACTCTGCCGTTGCCGTTGTTGATGTTTTGGTTGACCCTCGAGATAAATTTGTCGTGACAGTGCAGACATTGTGCTCCTCCCTTCCTTCATAGAACAAAGGTACTTAAGCATTGGTCCTCCTTTTTAACCCCCCCCCCCCCAACAAAATTACAGTCTAAACACGAGGTATGAGCAGAGTTTAACTTCAAAAGGAGGCAACATTTGCTAGATACCGCTGCTCCACAGTAGGAGACCTCCGAGGAGCTTCACTCACACAGAAAGAGCTATTAATTACGTCTGAGCCTCAATTAGACAACACTCTGTTTTATTCTGACTCAGACATACATGAGTGTACATTGTGGACCTTGGCTCCTGCAAAGCCTCATATTCATATTTAAAGTGTTAATGCCTTGTGTTGCCTTCATGGCATACTGTCTTAAATTATTGCTGCTGTGCTGCCTTCACTGCATGCGTGACTTATGCAGACCATAAGCAGATGTTTTTACATGACTGTGTAATCCTTTACTGCATCTGGGGACACAGCAGCTCTGTTTACACAGACACGTATGGCTTGTTTTACAACCCGCCGCCGCCGGTCTTTATGTGAGCATAATCATACACTGACAAGGATATGTAAATGGATGAAGATATATAGAAGCATAGAGTCATTGCGAGGCATCCATGTTGGTTTCGCAAGACCAGTGCTGGGCTTTGTAGAGTGCTCCAGGGATGATATTTATCTGTAGGCCGCCGTGGAAGTTAGCGCCACCCTGGTTCCCTTGTCAAAAAGCCAATGGTATTTTTCCACTGGATTTTATAGTATTGCAAAAAATAAGCTCTGTGGCAAACAAAAGTTTTGTTTGAAAGGAATTAAAGGCATGTCCCAAATATGGGCCCATCGATTTCAGCGATTTCACCAAATGATAGCCCGGGCTAGTAATTGAAGTTTTATGGCACTTACACGTTTTGTTCAGCAAAATAATCTTCGCAAATGAACACCACTTTTAATGAATTTTGAAGCCTAAATGCAATCACAAGGAAATAAAAAGTTATTGCTACGCTATAAACGGACTACACCACAGTTGCATGACTCAGCCTTTCTACCCCAATGAAGCTGTAAAGCCGTGTGATGACATGATGTAGTCCCATTTAACTATTTGCGAGCAACCACATTTTTTGAGGCACTTGAAGCTTCAGAAATCACAGGTGGGGTATTTACTGACATATCTTATGTCGTAGAACAAAACCTGAAACTCTCTTAAGCTTGTGTTAACCACAGACCTTATTTCAGGCATCTAACTAAAACCTATTCAGAAATCCCTTTGACTTCAAGACGAGCGAACCAGAAGTGCTAGAATGCTAACTCATTTTTTAGGAGTCATTCCTGCAGGACTCTATTAAATTGTTTCTAATTATGATTTCACTTCCTGTACTTTCTAAAGATGGATGTTTCATGTTGTGTTCTAGTAAAGTTGTGACTTTTTTGTGGGGGGGAAAAAAACTTTTACGACTCTCTGAATGACTTAGAAAAGACAAACACATGAGTGGGAAAAAAGCCCACTTAAAGACCACTAGAGATTCTTTAAAAGCATGTGAATTGGCCCCAGAATCAGAAAATGGGTCACATTGTTCAGTGAAATTTCTACATTCAAAATTCCATTGAAGTAATTGCAGTAAAGATAATGGCCTATTTTCTGATTGGTCCGTTGTCAGCTGGGAGGCCATTTCACCTGTGGTTTACATTTCAGAGATATAAAAGCTCCACTTTCCCTTTTCTATATAGTCTTGATAACGGCAGGTTGCCAAAACATGTTGGTCGTACAAGATTATTTTATGAATCTCCATCAGCCTTCAAACGTGTCTGAACCCTGTGCTGTGCAGCTGCACAGATGTTCGTGCTAACACCACAGTATCTCTCATCTCTCAGCTGACAGAGAGCTTGTGTGGGTGTGGTGGTTTTTGGACTCTCTTCCTGCTGGCTGCTAAATGCTCCTCGCCTCCTCCCCCGTTAGGGTGGTTGGTTTTCCGCTTGCTCGTTATCCCACAGTCATCCATCCATCAGCATCTCGGCGGCCCATGAGCGATAGGGCACGTACACTGTCTGAAGACAGGGAGAAGAAAGGCTGTGAATACTGAATTTGACTTTGAGTACAGATGAGGCATGGGGGCGAAGCTTCCAGTGCCTCAGTAGTCCTATCAGTCCTATCACCCCAAGCCTCTGCTTTTTTTTAGATAAGTTCATGAGCTGTGAGAGATTGGATTTGACATAAATTCAGATTTATTTGGGTTTTCCACGTCATAATTCAGGGGAAAAACACTTGCATAACACACGCAGCATATTTGCAGGAGATAAAGGGATCCTCCTGCTTGTTGTTTTGTCTTTTCTTTTAACACAGCCATGCCTAGTTCTGATCACAGGGGACACAGCAGATCCGGTAATCATTTGGATCTGTCTTAATCCCTGTGGCCAATGCGGCAGTTGTTACACGTAACAGAGCGGGCTACCACCCAGCAACAGATCAGCTGTCAGAGCAGGCCATTTTATCTGACTTCCCTCCCTTTTCTACTTTCTAAGGAGGACCAAAGAGAGATCTCTGAGTACAGAGATCCGGCCAGAGTGATAACAAGCAGTGAGGCTTTTAACTGCTGTCCCCATCATTCCACTAGTGGAGGTTTCAGGAAGGCAGTTAAAATGTCACAGGGAGGATGAAACGAAACAACCATGTTAATGTTGGTGTAAATGTAACTGAAGATATGCGGGGGGTTTTAACAAAGGATTAAAGAGTGTATACAGTCCGTAGCAGTATTTATAGTGCTGTTCATGTCTTTGTACTGACAAGCTTTGATCCCATGCTCTACCCAGAAAAGGAGACCAACCTCAGGTCGTTCAACCTGAGGGATCTGCTGCCGTCATCGGTGGACAGTTATTACCGATACACCGGCTCTCTGACCACGCCACCCTGCATCAAGGTGGTGGAGTGGATCATCTTCTCCAGGCCTGTGTATCTGTCCCACTCACAGGTGCGTCAAGTCCACACACACATGCCCAGACAGCTATATTCTCCGTTTGCACACAGTGGATCACATGCTGTCCCACATGCTGTTTTTCTCCTTATCTCCCTCTCCTCCATCTTTTCCCTTTCCCCTCGTTCCTCCACAACTCCTCTGCACATGAAACCATAACTGCCTATATAGTGGATGAGTAAGCAGGAAGGGGGAGCCAATTACTGGAATCTGAATGATAGTGTGATATAACTTTTATGCATATATCATGCTGTTGATCTGAGACAGTGACTATAGGGTCTTAAACTGAATACTGCTGCAAACGGACGCTGGTTATCACACTATTAAAGCTGATCAAGTGCAGCAATGTTCATTAATTAAAATGTTCATTAAATTAAATTTTTGCTGGAAAGGTTTAACATAAGTTGAATACAACATGTAGCATTTTACAGCACTCACCTGTGTGCTTTACAGCAGCTTAGCTCCCACTGTTTTTGCCATTTGTGATTTTGAGAGATAATGTATGCCAAATCATGCCCCGTGCTTTTTGCTGATCCCATACACAGTCTTTTGCTGCATCTTTTATACATACAATTCTCGGGTTACCCAGCTGCATATCCTCCAGAGCGTTGTGTGCTGTAGAAATTTGCAGGGCTCAGTGGAATTTCTATCAACTTGGAGGAGGACAAATCTTTTGTTCAGAAATGACTTCTGCTGCAGGAATATTGACCACCGCCACAATGTTTGTGACGCTCACAGATATTCTTTTATGAACCTGTAATTCATTTCTCCAACCACGCATAGGACACATTGATTCCACAGTATCTGTAATGTGTAGTCATTACAGCACGCGGCAGGAGATCATTCATGACAATCAATGGCCACAAATTTGCCCCATTGAGAAGTTACAGCCCGGTAGGTAGCCAGGATGATGATTGAGGTCCATGCCTGCTGGTGCCTGTGGTGTGAATGTTCCTTGCAAATGCTCTGCTCCAGTTGTGAACAGTCAGCTGCTGGCAAGTGGCTACAAATGCATTTCTGCATGATATATTATATATTCAGCACACACACACACACTCAGACACATAGTAACAAAAGCTCTCTAACTCTGCTTCAATAGCTATTCTCTGTTTCTTTACATCTAGCTGGAGGCCTTTTACTCCATCTTTACAACAGAGCAACAGGACCACGTCAAGTCTGTCGAGTACCTGAGGAACAACTTCAGGCCTCTGCAGGACCTGGACAATAGGAAAGTCTTTAAGTCAGCTGTAAAAGACGCATGGCAGAAAGATTTAACCGAGGTCGTGGGAAGCCCTCACAGCACCGAGGCTTCAAGAGGTAAGTTCTGTTTCTGCATCGTGTCTCATTCTCTCATTTGCACTACAGCCTCACTGGTCTGACCCAAGGATGTCCTGTAATTACTGTCATTACTGTCACTATTTTATTGGTTGTTGTGATTTGCTGCCAAAATTACTCACAGTAGTAAAAGTTTGTGTATTATAATTATTACATAATACACTGTATGTAGGCCAGGATTACTTAGGAGATCAGCAAACCTCACATCCTACACAAGCCATAGCTGCCTGAATATATTTTGCAAATTTTAAACCTTCAAAATTTGTCCTCACTGACCGCTCGCAAATTCCCGACTCCTTAGTTACTGTTGCCATGCCTGTTAAGTTTCCTTTCTTGCACAGCACCTACAGTTTACAGATAGAGATAAAAGTGGCAGATTTACAAACAGAAATTCTTAGTTAACAGTGGCAGACAAAAGCAGGCTGGTCATTTCTACCCAATGAACAATGATTTTACCGTCTGAAACAACAATTACCGCTGGCAGATTTTGTTAGCTGTAGCTAGCTAGCTAATTAGGCCAACAGTAGCGTCACGTGGCAGTTAAAAATGCTGTTTCTGACTGAGTTTTTAATCTTTCTAGTCGACTTCTTTATATTAAAACACGAACCCTGTAAAGAGGTCTTAAACATGCACTTGATGTCTTCATACATGACATCCTGCGCAAAGACTGAGGCTTCAAGGTGCATGTCCCAGGTAAAAAATCAGTATCCTTACCAGTTAAGGTCCAGTGTGTCAGATTAAGCGGGATATATTGGCAGAAATATAGGATTATGATTTAATAAGTATGATTTTGTTAGTGTATAGTCACCTGAAAATAAGAATTGTTGTGTTTTTGTTACCTTAGAAAGAGCCGTTTATATCTACATATGGAGCAGGTCCTCGTCCACAGAGTCCGCCATGTTGACTGCCATGTTTCTACAGTAGCCCAGAGTGGTCAAACCAAACACCGACTCTTGATAAGGCCATTTGCGTTTTCATGTCAGGCACCGTAGTTTTTTTTTTTTTGTTTTTTTTTTCTTTACCAGTTTAAATCACCAGGGCCATATGTTTTGGGCAGGAAGAGACCTCTGCCGATAATCCGGCTCCTGGTGAAAACCTCCTCAACTTCTGGATCTTAGGTTATCAGAGAAAAAAGGGGAGCACACATAAGCAGGCACCGAGTTTGCGGAGTGTCTCTGACATGCTGAACAGCGTTGCAGAAACACTGATTTGAAATGTGAACCACTTTCCTGTGTTTTTACCAGTTTTAATTACTGTTTTTCTTGGAGAGGAGGAAACTTCTGCAAACAGTCTGGCTCCTGGTAAAAACCTCAGAAGCAATTAACACTAAAATAATCATAACTGGGTGTTAACAGTTTGCACACAGGAGAAGTTTTAGCTGGTTGCAGTCTGCAGTTCTCACCACAAGGTGTTACTAAATCCTTCTCTCTGCTTCTCAGGTGATGTGTGTATTGCATACAGAAATAATGGAACAGCATAGTTCTTGTCTTGCTGTGTAGAGCCAGTTAGTTGTGGTGTACAGTATAAAAGAATGTCAGATCTTGGCCTATGAAGTAATGTTAGGTTACGACTACAATCGCAGGAAGGGGAAGGGGTGTGGTAAATGGCCAGTTGACCCCCATGCTGAGGTGGTTGAAGTATCACCGATAGTGTCCAAAGATGCCTCCGTAATAACGTAGAATGAAAATGTCAAAAATAACGTGTTCTTGAATTCTCCGCATTTGTGTGTAAATGGCACGAGTATTATCACAGGACCTCTGAGTGTCCATGTTGCACAGGGCTATTATTACCTGGGGCCCTCGAGTTATTTGTTGCAGACATTGTTTATGTTCTCAGTCCCATGTGAGAGTGATATCCATGATGTGCAAATTAAAGTTTTGACCCTGTATTAACACCCATTATCATCTATACTGTTTTTACTCTTTTGTTTCCCCCACAAAGACTGCTCAGTTTTTCAGCACTATTTATTGCTGCTCAAAAATCTAGAGACTGCAGTGAAAATTTGAGAACTGTGATAGTGGTTTGGGACCAAATTCGAGGCTCATTTAGCTGCTCAGCATGGAGACCCAGCTGAAATCAGTAGGTCAGTGAATATAAAAGGACCGTAGTAGGTAATTCTTCCTCTCTTTTACTAGAGTAAAAATTACTTACAGAGCAAATTCTGCTGCGATTAAAATCCCCACATGAATAGGTAGTAATTCAAATCAGGAGATTTTTGGAGAAAGCGGTGCTGTCAGAACAGAGCACATGTCATTCTCTCGTTGTCACAAGTCATTCTTATATCAAAGAACATATTAATACAAAGCACAGACCTCATGCGGGGCTTGATTAGAGTATTTTTGTTCCTCTCTCTTTTATGCGTGCATCTTGCAGCGCTTGCTTTAACAGAAGCGTACAGGAACTATGGAGACTAATGAGAAAGGCTGCTGCGCCTTAAAGTGGTGTTGTTGGTGTCTGGCGGGGAGAATTGATTGGGAATGCTTGTGATGAAGTTGGAGCACTCTCACAAGGCCGATCAGCAATCATCATTAATATGTGGCACAGCTAAAATAGACCCATACAAATTAAGTTGTGAAATTGCTTTTGTGGCATTATGTCAGTAGGCAGAATGAATGTGGACCAGTGTCTCTCCATCCCCCGCCTCCCCTCCCTCTCGCTCGTTTTCTCTTTGTGTCTCTCTCGTATTTCTATTTCACTGTGCTAAAATATAAGAATCCATACTTAATGGGAGGCACTGGGAGTAAATGGTGTCAGTCTTACCTTCATGGGTGACATCTGTCAAGGTTGTGTTAGGGGGGATATTTATCTGCGCACAGTAAATGATGGCTTTGCTTGTAAATGTTGTGCGGGCCAGGGCCATACCTTGACTGAATGTTCCATCACTGTGGCTTTTATAGCCATAAGAGTTGTTTGGCCATTAGAGATGCAGAGCCTCTGATGCAACATACAGGTGGCGGATTAGTTTGTGTGGGGCAGACTCATTGTTTGTCCAGTAATAATGCCAAGACATATAGGGCAGTATTTACTTGTTTGTGCTTGCTCTAATACGGTATCTGCATAGGTAAAAACAAAATCTCCTTTTTCTCATGATCAAAGACCAGATTTAGGCCCTGTCTATAGCAACAGATATTTTTTAAAACAACTTCTTTTAAAAAAATAATTCTGTCCACATGACCTTCATTTTACAAAATATTTCTGTCCACACTAGAAGGCAAAAATGACTCCAAATGCTCGCCAGTGTTGGAGATCTACTGGAGATCTCATCACCAGGAGCTCACTCAAAGATGTGAGTAGATGTGCAAAAGTTTTTCTTCCAGTAATCCCAGACAGCAATCCCACTCTGTAAAGTGTCCTACCATCTGCTGGCTTGATCAGGCCTGATCCAAAACTGTCATTTTTGGCAGACTTTAAACCGCAGACACTGACATCGAGCGAAAACCTTGGGTGTCTGGGATGCCTCAGTCCATCTGTTCGTGGTGCAACAAAAGATAAAAGATAGAAACCTGTTTTTTAATGACCTCAGACTTCATTTGTGTTTGTACGAGAGGCCAAAAAGAAACAAAAATGTCTGTTAAAGTGCAGACAGGGCCTCAGCGTACCTCTGTTCAGAATTTGCGTGATGGTGATACGGTCCATTGGGCTGCAACTAACTTTTATTTTTATTATGAATCAATCTGCTGGTTATTTACTTGATTAGCTGATTGATTGTTTTGTCCAAGGTGATGTCTTGAACTTGTCTGTGTTGTGCGATTTTGAGTACAAAACCATTGAGTGTACAATTTTATGAAACAAAGGAAGTCCTCACAAAGCAGAAGCTGGAACCAAAGAATGTTTGACGTGTTTGCTTGGAAAAAACCTCAAGCACTGTTTAGTTATTTAACTGCTTTTGACTTCAGTTTCTTCTCAACAACATTGTTAAAATAGTCTAGTAGTTTGATGTTGTCACTCAGTGTTGCAGTGTTGGTATTTAGCCTTCAGATGACATGCATAACATAACTTTCCTGTAAACTTCACCAAATACCAGTCATTTATGTTAAAATCAGCTTTATTTATTTATTTGTGTTTCCAGTGAAATTGTTTTTTCCATCATTCCGATTGACGCATTGTACGGCCTTGAGAGGAGAGAAGAATTGGACCTGCTGTTTGTTGACAACAGTCAATTCATCCCCGTTATGGAAGAATGTGCCAGGAGAAAGATTCGTGTTCAGCTCTCAGAGGTGTTGCACACCGAAGTGAAACTATGAGGCTGATTTCGGGATGTTACAGGTTATCTTTTTACAGGGAGTTAATAGGATTTTTCGCACTGGCCTGTTAAATATTTTTGCCAGTGATGAAACATGAGGAACTATTTATTTGATTCATGCTGTCTCTTAGCTGAAGATTTTGTGTACAGTTGAACCTGAGATAAAAGTGACAAAATCTATGCATACAAATATTGAGCAGATTTCGAGGTAAGCCTGCCACGATAATTATGTTAACGACTTATTGAGTTAATGGCAATATATTGTACTTGTTTTTTATAGCATTTATGAGCCGAGTGAACAGAAAAAAAACTAAGCTGAGACAGGTTGCGCTGCTTCTGTTCTCTCATCTACTCTCTGTGTCCAAGTTTCTCTATGGGCGGGGCTCAGCTCACACACCAGACATGCATCTATCTATTGTATATACTCTTAAGAATTAAACTTTAATTGCTCCTTAAGAGGTTGTACATGCATTATTATGCTACTATCTTGGTCTTAAAGCAGGGGTATTTAACACATAGCCCGTGGGCTAGAACTGACTTGCCAAAGGGACCAGTCCAGCCCATGGGATGACTTTGCACATCGTACATTGATGCACTTGGGAAGGCTAAGAGGTGCCAGGTTTCAGGGGCAAATTCAATATTGAGTAGCCTACTTCATGTAATATGCTGCTTCAGAGGCTTTTTCACCCTGACCAGAATACAGCTCTCTGAAATAAAAAAAAATTGTACTCTTCATATTTAAAGGTTTTAAGCATTTTGAAAATATTGTCAACTGGCAGCTTCAGTACAAAATATCTGTTCTAGACTTCAATCTTTAAGCAATATTGCCTAAACTTAAGATTTGCAAATGGTTTGTACAGCAGGAGATCATTTAACCTGCCTCCTGAATAACTTCCACTTTAGTTTGGTGTTGTGGTGCCAGCATTACCACACAGGAGCGGTAATATATGGAAGAATGTACATGTAATGACGGAGAGTAGTAGACTGACCGAATGTGCAAAACCTGAAACAGGAGGCTGAAAATTTTCAGGATGTACTTGTGCATCTTTACATTACAATAAAGGGAAAAATCGAAGTTGTTGTCATTTATTGGTTATTAAGAAATGGTCCAGCCCACTTGAGATCAATTTGGGCTGCATGTGGTCCATGAACTAATGTGTGTAAGCAACAATAATTTAATTACAATTGTTTGTGGGACAAAAGTAGTTATTGTGACAGGCCTGTTTAGAGGCGCACTTATTAACTCTGCTGCCAACCTGCCATTATATCAGAAGCATTTATAAAATGAACAACCTTAGATCAGTGAAGTTTACAGCTAACACAGACCTCATGTTTGCTCATCAGTAGACCTTATGAAAAAAAAAAGTTTCCCCAGTTATTGTGGAAAAAAAAACAAAAAAACATTTTCAACAAAATAAAAATATGCATTGCAACAGTGTTGTTATTCCGCGGTGCCAAACAGGTGTTGATTGGATATTTAGCTCGCAGATTTACTCATGCTGTTGATTTTAGTGTTACTAGTGCACCAGTGTTGATGGTGAAAAAGGGCGATGACCTGACAGTAATGATGCAGGCATTGAAACCGTGATGATGTCTTCAGCTGTTATTAAACGGCTGCTTTTGAGCTACTGAAGTTGACAACGAACATCTGACGGGTTATAATGCATTTCACACCTGTCATACCTCATCAACACCCGGAGATATTCTCGCTGTTGTGTGCGTTTTTTCTCTCCTTTTGTCCTTCTGAGTGATTTCCTCCCACCCTGTCTGCCTTTCACATATCACCGTGCATCATTTGCACCATAGCTTCACTTTGTAAATGGAGAGAACTGTGGTGACAATTTCAATTTGACAGAAACCCCGTGTGCACGTAATCAGCTGACACTGGTTCCTGATTGCTGTTGCCCTGATGTGCTAAGAAGCATGTCCAGATTGTTCCCTCTTCACACTGACGGATCCCTGTGTAGAAATATGTGCTGCAGCCTACACTGCCACCTTGAGGCAGACTCACAGCTTTTCCCTCATCCTCCTCATGCACCCTCTTTAATGTTGCACAGACAGGAACTTGCAAATTACGCATGGGCAGGAAGTTGCGGTTTCATCTGTCCCACATGTTTAGCACTACACACACAGCTGCTTGGTATTCCACCTGGATTCTCTTGCAGTATTGTTGGCATGAAAATGACACAAGTGTCCAGAATGACAATCAGCGCTGACACCCAAAGTTGTACCCGACCACTGTCAAGCCTCCGGGAGTGTTTTTGTTATTGAGTGACTGTATTATCTTGTACTTTTAGAGGTTCCTCAAGTAGAAATGGCTTTGAATCAAGTCAGCAGCAGACAGTAATAATAGGCTTGTTAAAAGGCAACCTGCATTCTGCCCACACACATCAACAGACACAAATACATGTGGTCAAGAAGTCCTCCCAACACAGCCTTTCATTTTCACCCAGCTGCATACAGACTTCTTTAACTTGCTCACCTCTCCTTTCTGGTGTTTCAGTGTGCAGCAGTGCTCCAGTGAGCATGAAGATCCAGCCGCTGAACCAGACGGCATTGATGGTGAGCTGGGAGCGCCCTCTGACCGTCTACCACCCACCCATCACCAGCTACATGGTCTCCTACAGCTGGGTGAAACGTGATGTCGCCGACGAAAAGACCTTCACCAAGACTGGGGACCAGAGCATGGTGTGTATTATTATTATTATTATTATTATTATTATTATTATTTTTATTATTATCAACTGCCTCTAACAGCTGCTCACAGCCGTTTCTCAGAGTTGTCGTCTTGCATGTGGCCGAAGCAGCTCTGACTGGTTTGCAGAGCCTCAGATGTATCTGGCGGGATCAGAGGGTGGCTGGATCAGTGACAGTGTGTATAGGAGGCGACAGGATGTGATGAACTCTGCGCGTGGCTGTTGCTTGATATGAAGGCCCAGACAATCCCCTGTCACACACCTGTCAATGAGTAGACACGTAGGACTGTCTCACACACTGACAAGTCTAACTGATATATATGTAATGTGTTGACAAATGCGCCTGTGGCCTCGTCTCAGTCTAAGCACTTTCCATCTATTTATTTAGTTCAGTCTGCGATGCAGGTCAATATAACACAGGCTGAAGGATAACTTACAGTATAGCGAAACTGCTTTTTTATTTTAACAATTTGAAAACTTTTAATCATTTGAAAAAATCCCATCTGTTTTGAGGCATTGGAGGCAGCTCTTTGAACACAAACTGTCGTCTTAAAGCAACCAATGCAGGCAACTGTGCAAGTTTAGTCCTTTAGATCTCAGTGAAGTTTCTGACATCAGTGATCACACAATTCTGCTCGTGTGCCTCAAACATTGAGTTACCACTTCATTTCTGCCTGTATCTGTATCCAACAGAACATTCACTGTCTCCACAGAAACATATCCCTCCTCCTGCAGGAGGTTATACCTACAGGGCTGTTCTTTTTTTCTCCACACTACACATTCTTCTCCCCGGTCACATATCCTTCCATTTGAAGGAATCCAACACCCAGCTGTGCATCTCCTTTAAAGCCTACTGACCTCCAGCTGTCTTGGCAGTCTGCATGACTGCCTCTTTAGATATAAACAGTGCAGGGGCAGAACACTCAACCACTGGTTCAGAGACCTAGGATCAGTTCCTCTGGGGGCAATACTACCTGCAGCTTGCATTCCAGTAAACACAGTTGTCACTGTCATGAGTGGGAAGCTGGTGAGGGATCATGCAATGTTGCTGCACCAGTGACTTCCACTGTTATATTGGAGAAAAACTACTCAGAGGAATTTGGATCTGAGGGGAATGATGTACTGTAAACCGTGGCATGTATAACATCCTCCCGTCATTCTAATGCTAACACTAGCTGACTGTTATACCAGCTAATGCATTAGCAAATAACCCCTTCCGCCCAAGAATGTGTGTTGCTTACTTCACTTAGATGTTTAGCCTTCACTGTGCAGGGTTATGCATGTGTAGAGTTTGACACTTAAAAAGCTGTTTTCACGTTCTACAAGATGAGTTTGAAAGCAATTTGTGGTCAAAAATTCAACTCACACACACACACACACACACACACACACACACACACACACACACACTGAGCATGGGCTGTTCAGTGAAACAGGAGACACCTTGTATTTAGCAGTTAAAGCTTTGAAATTAACAATATTTGCATATCCACTGTTTCTGTCAGAGGATGGGTACATGTAATTTGAAGATTATTTTACCTAGGTAATTTGTGGAAAAACCATATCAAACTCAAATTATTATTTCATGCAGTTTAACTTTGAAGGATTTTTTCAAGTGGGTTCATATGAGGTACTTATCCATAGTCAGCCCATTACCTATAGTAGGTCGCGGTCAGTACGCTCTCAGTTTGGAGAAGCAGGCAGGAGTACCACCACAAAAGCTAAGCAGTGTACTGCCATGGATGAGGGCAGCAGCAAAACATATTCTACACACCTAAAAAAAGTCAATATCAGCCCAAGTGTACACTATATTTATAATATTTTCACTGCTTTACCTTGCTATCAGACAGCCTCTTGCAACAGGGAACTTAAGCTGTTATCTGTGCCCTTTTAAAGCCACCAGACTCCTTTGACAAAAACAATAATTTTACCTCGCAGAACATGGGAGTTGCTGGTCTACCTCCACCTCTATCAGTTAATTTGTTTGTGTTATTGTGACTTAGGTGTTTTAAAGAGTCAGTTTGGATTCACTTAAGGCTGTCAGATTCTGGTCAGTTGGTTGATATGCTCTTGTCTGACCGAATTTTCATTGGTCGGACAATCGCTGGTGTTACTTTAATCGGCCTGTGTGTCCACCAAGGTGTTTCTTTTCCCAGCTTAAAACGGCTTTAGCATGTTTAGATGTCCAATGTGATGGTTGGTCTTTGTGTTATTTGTCCTGTCCCTTCCCCACTGTGATTTGACGGCTGGTGACCGTGACTATGGCAGCGTTTTACCCAAAGTTAGACATTTTTCAACTCTCATTTTTAAGTGGAAAACCACTTAAATAATCATAGAAAACATACAGTGTCGGATCTATCTTTTTGGGTTTATTTTACCAAGTCTCCGAAAAGACACTGTGGTTCAAGGCTGGATTATAAAGCCTCTGAAAGGAATAGGATCACACCGGAGCTCTTGTTGGAGCGGCAAGATGGCTAACGTTAGCCTCTGGGCCAAAATTAGCAAGTCTCTCACAGAGATATTTAACATTAGTGACGCTACGTTGTTTATGACGTCATCAACCTCAGAGTTAACTTCTATGGTGTCCAGTATGTCAGATTGTCTTGGCTCAGCTGGATGCTCCCAGCAATACAGTACACAGTTTATTGTCAGATAATATTACATTGGAGACCACAGTAACTTTTGACTTGAGGCATTCCACTTGCTTGAACACTTCACTTTTACTTTACAGTTTACTTTTCCTGGGCAAGTGTTCATGTCGAGCTCTGTGACAGAAAAAAACGACACACAGTGTTACCAGGTAGAGTGCTCTCAGTGCACTGTGGCCAATTTAGTTGCTCTAAAGATAACGTGCAAAAAAATTTTCCCCATCAATCAAATTATTGGCTGAAAAGTAGATAGAATTTCAGTCAACCGAGAGTTTCTTTGGTTGATTACAGCCCTAAATTCACCAAAGTCACATATTAACACAAACTAACTGATTGAGGCAGCGGTAGACCAGCAGCTCCTGTGTTCTTCAAGGTAAAATTACTGTTTTTGTCAAAGGAGTTTGGTGGCTCTGAAGGAAGCATAAATGGATGTAACAGCTTCAGTTCCCTGTCTGACAGTAAAGTAAAGCAGTGAAAATATTCTCAGTATAGCAGACTTTTCAGCTGGCACTTTTTAGGTGGCCAACATACATTTTGCTGCTGCTCATACCCATAGCAGTACATCGCCCAACTCCTATGTCAGTACTCCTGTCTGTCTCTCCAAACCAAGGCATGCTGACCACCAACTACTGTAGCTAATACATCGACTATGGATAAGTACCTCATTGAAATACCTCTTCAAAAAAATCCAAACTATTTCTTAAAACGTGCCTGGAGGGGATCTTTAACTTACAATCTGGTTACCGAGGCTTTCAAACTATGGACAAGCAGCTTGAAAGGAATACGCAATCAGGCTTCCTGCAGTCAAGAACTCCCTCACAAATGAAACCAATGCTATACTTGGCTAGAAATAGATTAATATTTGTTTTATTCATTTAACTCCTGCCCCCCTCTCATCTGTAACTTGTTCAGAGACCTGCTTCAACAGTTCTGTCTAGTGTTAAACAGAGGAACCGACTCACCACAATATCAGGTTCCCCGTGCTGGTTACCTGCTCCTCTCAGCATCCTCCAGCTACATTTACTGACCTTTTAACTCCGCATCAGCAAAACTGCTCCCTGAGGTCCTCTGGCAGAGCCGTCAAATTTCTGCAGCTCAGGTCTTCATTTTCTATATTCTGTGGTCTTGACATGAGGACAAGCATCCTCTGTTACCATACTGTGGTATAACTTTCTTGAGATGTCAAATATGAGGTAGAGTAATTTCTATGTAAACCTACAGTACAGGCCAAAAGTTTGGACACACCTTCTCATTCAATGCGTTTTCTTTATTTTCATGACTATTTACATTGTAGATTCTCACTGAAGGCATCAAAACTATGAATGAACACATGTGGAGTTATGTACTTAACAAAAAAAGGTGAAATAACTGAAAACATGTTTTATATTCTAGTTTCTTCAAAATAGCTACCCTTTGCTCTGATTACTGCTTTGCACACTCTTGGCATTCTCTCCATGAGCTTCAAGAGGTAGTCACCTGAAATGGTTTTCCAACAGTCTTGAAGGAGTTCCCAGAGGTGTTTAGCACTTGTTGGCCCCTTTGCCTTCACTCTGCGGTCCAGCTCACCCCAAACCATCTCGATTGGGTTCAGGTCCGGTGACTGTGGAGGCCAGGTCATCTGCCGCAGCACTCCATCACTCTCCTTCTTGGTCAAATAGCCCTTACACAGCCTGGAGGTGTGTTTGGGGTCATTGTCCTGTTGAAAAATAAATGATGGTCCAACTAAACGCAAACCGGATGGGATGGCATGTCGCTGCAGGATGCTGTGGTAGCCATGCTGGTTCAGTGTGCCTTCAATTTTCAATTTCAATTTCAATTCAATTTTATTTATAAAGTAAAAAAAAATAAAATTTATAAATTTTGAATAAATCCCCAACAGTGTCACCAGCAAAACACCCCCACACCATCACACCTCCTCCACCATGCTTCACAGTGGGAACCAGGCATGTGGAATCCATCCGTTCACCTTTTCTGCGTCTCACAAAGACACGGCGGTTGGAACCAAAGATCTCAAATTTGGACTCATCAGACCAAAGCACAGATTTCCACTGGTCTAATGTCCATTCCTTGTGTTTCTTGGCCCAAACAAATCTCTTCTGCTTGTTGCCTCTCCTTAGCAGTGGTTTCCTAGCAGCTATTTGACCATGAAGGCCTGATTTGCGCAGTCTCCTCTTAACAGTTGTTCTAGAGATGGGTCTGCTGCTAGAACTCTGTGTGGCATTCATCTGGTCTCTGATCTGAGCTGCTGTTAACTTGCGATTTCTGAGGCTGGTGACTCGGATGAACTTATCCTCAGAAGCAGAGGTGACTCTTGGTCTTCCTTTCCTGGGTCGGTCCTCATGTGTGCCAGTTTTGTTGTAGCGCTTGATGGTTTTTGCGACTCCACTTGGGGACACATTTAAAGTTTTTGCAATTTTCCGGACTGACTGACCTTCATTTCTTAAAGTAATGATGGCCACTCGTTTTTCTTTAGTTAGCTGATTGGTTCTTGCCATAATATGAATTTTAACAGTTGTCCAATAGGGCTGTCGGCTGTGTATTAACCTGACTTCTGCACAATGCAACTGATGGTCCCAACCCCATTGATAAAGCAAGAAATTCCACTAATTAACCCTGATAAGGCACACCTGTGAAGTGGAAACCATTTCAGGTGACTACCTCTTGAAGCTCATGGAGAGAATGCCAAGAGTGTGTAAAGCAGTAATCAGAGCAAAGGGTGGCTATTTTGAAGAAACTAGAATATAAAACATGTTTTCAGTTATTTCATCTTTTTTTGTTAAGTACATAACTCCACATGTGTTCATTCATAGTTTTGATGCCTTCAGTGAGAATCTACAATGTAAATAGTCATGAAAATAAAGAAAACCCATTGAATGAGAAGGTGTGTCCAAACTTTTGGCCTGTACTGTATATTTGAACCCAGAGGTTGAGTGGTGGTGTTTGGCTCCTCAGATTAACTGTTTTTCAAAGAATGGATTGACTTGTTTCTTTGTTGTTGTTTTGACATAATATCTTTATGTTCTGTTTAGAGTGTATGTTGTTATTTTACATTTATTGCAGATGACTCACCGGAAAGAACGGTTAATGTGTCCGTGATGTGCTCTGTGTGGTTACGCTCCATTAATACAGTCGATCGGTCGCTGTACTGACAGTATTCTCTCCACTTCTGTCTCCGCTGTCAGTCTTTTTTATTTGGCCCACTTCATTTCCATTTCAATTTTCAGTTTCTATCTCTGGACACCTTTTTATCTGAATTATTTTTGAGAAATACTGGCTCTCCAACACCAGAGGCAACCAGCCATCCGTTCTGAGGGCCATTTTAATACAAGTAAAGCCATCTGTAAAGTGCACAACACAATTAAATTAGACAGGAAATGAAGTTTTAAACTGCGTCAAACTTGTGGGTCGTACTCTGTTGACTCAGGGTAGTATGTTTTCATTTGAGGAAATATGAATTAACAGCATCCACAGTTTGAATGTATAGCGCTCTTAAGTGTGTACATATGTGCATGTTTTGTCTTGCAGAAAGCCGTGATCACTAATGTGTCCCCTGACGTCCTGTACCTGTTCAGAGTGCAGGCAGTGTGTCAGCATGACCTGCGCAGTGATTTCAGTCAAACACTGCTGTTCAGAGGTACCTGATCAAAACCCTCCAGCCATCTACTCATTATGTATTCCTACAGAAGATCTAATCATGTCAGACACATGAAATGGATTCCTAAATGCTGGCTTGCTCTTTTGTCTTTCAGCCAATACAACAAGAATATTTGAAGGCTCTCGTATTGTGAAGACGGGGATGGTGAGTTGACCAGGAGATGGCAGTGCAAATTTTCTTTTTGTTTGTTCGTAACACTCATGTCACTTTGTCTTTGCCCGCCTCCGTCAGCCCACAATTTCTCCAGCGTCCTCTGCAGACATGGCTCCCATCAGCTCCGGTTCCTCCACTTGGACGTCCTCTGGCATCCACTTCTCCATTGTCTCCATGGCAACGGGGATGGGCCCCTCCTCTAGCGGCAGCCAAGCCACAGTGGCATCGGTGGTGACGAGCACCTTGCTGGCAGGCTTGGGCGTGGGCGGAGGGGTCATCTCTTCCCTGCCCAGCTCTGTCTGGCCCACACAGGCGCCCCAAGCCACGCAGAACCCCACCCGTCCATCCGTCCCACCTCCGAAGTCCAGCACCGAGCAGGCAGCGCCCCAGGGCTCTGAGACAGATGCCCCTTCTGAGGAGAAGCAGGCTGCACGTGAGGGCGAGGAGGAGGAGGAGAAGGAGGGGGAGCGAGAGGGAGAGCAGGAGGAGGGAGAGGATGAGAAGAAGAGAAAGAACAAGACCGCACCTGATAATGAGGAAAAGCAGGCGAACAGCACTGTGGCCAAAGAGCCTTTAATCCCCACCCCCACATCCACAGCCAAAGAGAAAGAAGAGGGAAAGCCGACAGTCAAAGGGACCACAGTACCTGCAAGCACCAATGACGACGAGCTGGTCAACGTAGAGAAGAAACCCACAGATGTAAATGCAGTCTCCACTCAGGAGCCTCGTAATGACACTGCAGAGATGCAGATCCCCCAGAGCTCCACACTGTCTCCAAAGATCAGTGGTGGTGGCAAGAGTCTCTGGCCTTTCTCTGTCCACACTGGTGAGCAGACCTCTTTCTCTCCCACACATCTACAGATTACAATGTTGTTTTTTTTGTCCCTTCCCAAACAGACACATCCCTTCTGAATTCTCAGCAAGGCTCATTCTCTTGTTGTCAGCTATCATACAAAGCAAGGCTCCCTTCCAAAGCAGATTTCTGTAATCACTTCCAACAGTTAGGGAGCCCAATTTAGCATAACAAATACATTGATATAAGACAGTGACTACAGTGGTTACCATTTCTAGTCAAAGATAAAGCTGCAGGCTTTTGTGTCACTACAACACAGAGGCCTGAAGGCAGAAGTAAGTCATCCGCCATAGGGGCTCTGCCTCCAGGAATCCCTTGAAGCATAGTCTGAAAGAGTTTGCTTCAAGAGAGCAAATTTTAAGATTTTTCCAACAGATGTTTTACCTTTTTAATACTAGATATAAGATGTTAGTGCTATTGTTAGTGACATTAACATTATTTGAAAGCTGTAATCAGGCAGTCAGTATACATGCAACCCTTTGGTTGAAGCTGGTTGACATGAGTGGAGTTAGATTTTAATACAAGTTGGTCTCAGGAGGGTTTTTCTTTCTGTTAATGCATGTGTTTAACCATAATAGACTTTTAGATTTATTAGTCTTTATAGGTTTATTCTTAATCAAGCTTAATTTGTAGCTCAAACCACCTGGCTCAGGTTGACATTACATATAATAGTGAAGATTAAAGCCCCCATGTGTAGCATTAAAACATTTCTGACTTTGGCGCCTCCAAGTGGTAGCATCAAAAAGGACACTTTTGTACAAAAGGACCGCACGCTAATATTTTCCTCCCCTCCTTTCCCTCGTGGATCTGACCTGGAGACACATAATTAATCAGCACACACTGCACCATTTTTCACCAAGATTGTCCCATTTTAACAAACAAAAAGTCGCAATCAAGTAATTTGAAACATACTATACTTTCATAAAAACAGTCCTACACATAGGTAACTTTAGCAAATCATTTGGTGTGATGAGGAATCCCTACTGGAATCGAGACGATAATGAGATGTTAGCAAGAGGTGAGCGTCATGTAGGCGTCCTGTCATCCAATTAATGCTGACTCCATCTTCTGTTCTCAGCTGTTTGTCAGCAGTGGACAGCGGCTGGCTAACCTGCCTTCACCAGGCTGACTGACAGCTGAAATTTACTGAACCAAAATATTTTTCATTTTGGCTCCCTGGGAGGAAATCAGCAGTGTTTTTGTGTATTGATTCAGTGATTTTATTTCCCTGCCCACTGTAGCGAGTCTCTGTGAGCCTGCCTGTTTCACCACAGGCAGATTCCCCTCAGACTGGGAGCCTTGATTAATCAATATAGATGTGGATAATAAGTTTAAAACACTATACAGCAGGATATCTGTGCAGTTTAAACAGCTGTTTTTGGAGATTACGCTTAACTAAATGCAACTCAAAATAGACTTGAAATGTAAAACACTGTGGGGGGGTCTCCTTGAGTTAGTGTGGATTGATACTTCAATAAAATGGAAGCGAATCTGTCTGTGATACACATCAGAAACACTTTTCAAAACACTTTCAGTGTAGATTGGCTGTAACTCGGTAGAATATTTTTTTCAGCCAGGTGTTTATGCGCTTGTTTATTACGTTTCAGACAAGACCATCTTGTCCAACGTGACCCGAACCCCTCACCCAGGGATGGGCAGGATGGTGTGGATCGTCCCCTTGGTGGTGGTGTCTGCTCTCACTCTGCTCTGCCTCATAATGCTGCTGATTGTGATGGTCTACTGGAGGTGAGTTCAATGTACTTAACCTCAATCCAGATGGCACAGTTTACAGCTAAAATAAAGTAAGGTAAAACAGTAAAATGTCTGCACAGGAAGTGCTGATACATACAGAAATGCCTGCTCCTGATAAGGGTATCACTGATACCTCCTTCAGGGGTATGGAAACTAGCTGCCCCTCACCCACACTTACCCCCTCGCATAAATCTCACATTTCGTGTTAAGTGTCACGCCTGCATGCATGTCTGGATTTTCCAGTCAGTCTGCTCCACATTGAGGCCCGCCCAGTTTGGATTTTATGCACATTTGCATGTGTGTGCATCAATCTCACACAATCTGGTGGTAGAACTGCTTTTTTTTTGCCTCCATGTCGTACATCAGGCCCATCACCCGCCTGGGTGAGGGTCAGGAGACCTGAAGGCCCTGCAGAGCCAGCAGGGGTCCCAGCTGTGTCTTCATCTGCTGGGCTGATTTCCAGCCATGCCACTGGGGCCCCAGTAATTACACAGGCCAGGCCACTGGCACATGTGGGATGGTTAATGAGTTACAACTAGCACTACGGACCATTTCCTCAGCTGGTCCCATGCATATTTACTGTCTCCAAAGACTGTGCTTCTAGTTGGGTCGGATTTTGTTTATTTACAGTTTGAGATTTATTTGTGTTAATACTTGAAATGTGTTAGATGTATTTCATAAATTATTTTTACCAGGATATTTTTTCAAAGTGTGAAATGGATGCAGCAAATGTTTATGGGCCAACAACACTTTACTGTGGCATTTTGTGGTGTCAGATAATATATGGAGCTGATAACCAGGCTGTTATTTATACCCCGCTTTTAGAGGTGTTAAATAAAAAAAAAAAACAGACAGTTGAGGACGACTGTAGCGGATTCAGTTGGTGGATGGATTACTGAGAGTTGTGGTATTTGAGTAGAAGAGCAGGGGCAGCTTTGAGATTAGAAATGGCCATCACAGCTGTTGTTGTGACAACTCTGACAGTTTGCAGACAATGCCTGCTTCCCCTGGGGAAAAGACCATGATGAAAGATGAAATCAACCCATTCACACTCTCTTCACTCTTCATGCTCTACGTCGTCTCTCTTGATGACAGTCCCGCTATAAAAGCCTGCGAGCTTCTCTGCTCACAGATGTTTCGGCCATTAGCAACTTAATAATGTTTATTTAAAAATACGTGATCAATCGGCCATCTTTTTAAGTTTAATAATGTATTTTTTAGCCTGTTCATTTTCTCATTTAGTCCTAGGTTAAGAGTCTGTCTACAATGAAATTAATTGCTGGCGTTACCGTATACATCTGGAAGCCCCTGAGGCCTGAGGTGTTTGTTAAAAAATCACAGATGTTCAAATGAGAGAGAGAAAAAAATCCCATCTCGGGTTAGTGCCTCAGTGCTGTGCTAACACCAGTGTTGAATGGGATGCTCCTCTCCACTGACTTCCATTCAGAAAGCTTATTCCATCCCACCGTCCAATCCCCCACAGCAAACTTATTCTTCTGAGATCACGGGAGAGAATCAGGGAGGAGGTGTCTTCCACGCTGCTCAGTTAGCCGCACCACATCTGCACCCACAGGGAGTCATTGGAGTGGGAGGCTGTGACGCAAGCCAGGGGGGAGCTCTCCTCCCTTTTTTTGTTTTCACCCTCCCCTCTGTGTCTTTCTCTCTCTTTCTCTTTCCATATCATTTTAAACACAGTTCAGCATTTTTATTTTTCTCTCTATGCTTTGCTTTATCTCTGTTAAAGAATGACAACCATCTGCTCCCTCCTCTGCATCAAGTACAGGTAGGATTAAACCTGGGAAATGCTGGCACTGGGATCAAACATGGGTCTTTACTATGCATTCATTAGTATACATTGTGTGTGTGTCAGGAGGGGGTGGAGGCTGAAGAGGATGTGCAAAGTGCACAGGACCTTAAAGATTCCTCACTTATAGACCAGCTCTGTTTTTCAGGAGCTTTCTAAAAGTGAGGAACCAGATTTTTATTTAATTTATTTCTCCTATTTAGAAAGCATCTAATTAATCATGTAAGAGTTGTTCATTTTTGTTATACTCAATGTGGGGAAGGATGTCTTTTATGTGGAACTTTTAAGCCTAAAAAAATAGTCAAAGCTTTGATAAACCCCAGAAATAATTTGGATAATATCTAAAGATCATTGCTGCTTTCAGCCTTTCAACATTCAGCACTGATTTGACAAGATGTACAGTTTTTTGATCTTTGAAATTTGGGCTTTGAACGGTGTAAAATTTGGGGTAATTGTCCAAAGAGAGGCTACAAAATTTTGGCTTTCAAAACAACAAGAATTACTTATGAATAAGTAATGAATGTCAAAAGTTTCATCTGGTCCCGATGAAGACCTTTGTCAGTAGTTTTCATATGAACATCTGTGCACTGAGCAGCAGCTGCTGGCAGCGATCACACACACACACATTTTCTCCAGAAAACACGCCTTTTAAGTCGATTTTGTTGTCCTCAAAGTGGAGTGAGATCTCCTGAAAGTGGTGTGTGATGCCCCGAAGAGAGAATCTGTGTTTGGATTAGTTGTCTTCAGTTTGAGTAAAGAGCTAAATTTGGTGCTGTGCTGTGTGTCGCTGTGAGTTGTTTACCTGTTCCCTGTAGTCAGCTCAGACTGTGTTTTCCAGGAGCTGCTCACCGTCAACGGCTCTGTGTGCGATCAGCCGTGTCCCACTCACTCTGGGGTTTTCATTAGCAGTTTTCTGCCGTTCCTGTGTCATTCTGCTCAACTTTTAGATGCTGATGTTGACAGACTGGATCTGAGAACAATGGGATAACGACTCCCTAATAGACTTCACTGTGGCATCACACTGCTCTTCTCTCTCTGTGTCCCTGTAGGAGATTTTTTCAGACAGCTCACTTCTATGTGGAGGAGAGCAACTCTCCACGGGTTGTGGCCAATGAGAATATACCAATCATCCCTATACCAGGTAAGCTGCTTTCCCTTCATCATATTAAATTATTCATACATGTGATGTTCAAATATCCACATATTAAAGTTTTTTTTTAGATTCACAGTTTGTTGCAGTTTTCTAGATCAGTGATTCCCAACCAAGGTGCTTGTGTTATATGGTGTTTGTGTCCCCCAGGGGTATTCTGCAGTTGCTTTGGTGTATGTAACTCAAGAACCTGGAACAAATTGAAATTACAATTGGAATAAAAACATCCTCATTAAGTGAACTAAAACACCAGAACACAGTGTTTAAAAGGGAGTAAAAACTATATAGCAAGCAAGAAACAGAAGCTGAAACAGTTTGCTGAAAGTAAAATAATTAACAGATGAAATAGATGGCTAAATTAGCTTAATTGTTTTGTCAGTAGAATCTCAGAAGATAGTGAACCTTTGTAATTTGCCAGAGCTCAAAGTGACGTCTTCAAATGGTATCTTTTATCAAACCAACAGTCCCAAAATCCAAAGTTATTCAGTTTATTATTATGTATGACAAAGAAAAGCATCACATTCTCACATTTAAGAAGCACGAAACCAGCAGATATTTGTCTTTTTTTGCAGAAAAGAAATACTAAAACAATAATTTGATTATGAAAACAGCTGCCAATCAATCTTCTGTTGACTGATTGATCGATTAATTTTGCAGCTCTAGATATGTGGTTAAAATAGTTAGCTCAAAGTAATGCAATAAATAGATGAGACAGAGTACTAACTTAGCTCAAGTGACAGATGGACAGTTGAAAAAGTTAGCTAAAAGTAACTGATAGACGTAGGGCTTCAACTGATGATTATTTTCATTATTAATTCATCTTTCCATTAATCGTTTGGTCAGTAAAATGTCAGAAAGTAGTGAAACATGCCCTTTGTAATTTCCAAGAGCCAAAGGTGACATCTTTAAATGGTGTCTTCTATCCGACCAACAGTCCTAAAATCCAGTTACTCACTTTATTATTATGTATGGCAAAGAAAAGCATCGAATTCTCACATTTATGGAGCATGAAACCAGCAAGTGTTTGGCTTTTTTCTTCTTCTTTTTTTGCAGAAAAAGAAATACTTAAACAATTATTTGATTTTCAATACAGCTGCCATTGATTAATTGTCCCAGCTCTAGATATATGGTTAAAATAGACAACAAAAAGTAATGCAATAAACAGCTGAAATAATTAGCTTAAAGGAATGCTTCATCCACACCCACCTGACCATTCAGTCAGTCATGACCTGTTACCTTGAAATTGTGTTGAAGACTTTGTGCAGTACAATCGAGGTCTGATTTATCCAGTCGTATGGGCAGTGCTTCCCAAACAAATGCATTTTTGCTAAAACTTTACTATTTAAAACTGACCAGAGTCCAATACCCTTTGGGAAGTACTGAGCATACGACTGGATAACTGAGATTTGGATTATAATGCACGAGTTGTGTGAGAGTTTGTAAATGGATGTTTTTTATTTATTTTTATTTATTTAACCTTTATATAACTAGGAAGTCCCATTGAGACTGAATATCTCTTTTACAAGAGAGCCCTGGCCCTGGTAGCAGCCAATCACAACACATCTAAAATGCAACATATAATACAAAAATCCACAATAAAACAACAACTATTCAAACATGGTGGCGACATGGCTACGTCACCACATTCTTTATGATGCCCTTAAATTCATCGATGATGATCATTTTGATACAGGTTTGCTGTTGTTAAACATGGTTCCCAATTGATCAGTAAATCAATATGTTCGCCATTTTCCGTGGAGGCATAGAAGAAAAACACAAATCACAAATCAAGGTAACACAGCAAGACGAACTGATTTACAAATGGTTATTTTGTGGGCGAAGTATTCCTTTAAAGCGATGAATAAACAGTTTTAAACAGTTGGCTTAAACTAATGTGTAAATATTTGAAGTAGTTTGGTAAAAATAATGGATAAATAGATGACACAAATGGTGGCGTCACTTGAATTCATTTGACACGACTGTGGGAGTAAATGAACAATAAATATATGTAATTTAACTTAAAAAATATGTGACTTTAAAGCTGAAACTGAGTACCAAAAAATCACAAAAAGGCATCCTGACTAACTTTAAGTGATACACGACCACTGATACAGGAAACATCCACAAGCCAGCACAAACTGTTTTCAAATGGTTGTCTCTATTACCTTGATGTCTGCATTTGCACAGTTTCTGGCCATTTACACGCGAAATGACTCTGAGAGCACCTCTGTAGGAATTGTGTGACGGGCTTTTTGTTGCCTTTAATGTCCCAGGCAGCAGCGCAGTGGCAGCTAGTCGATATCAGACTTTACTTTCACAGTCGCTTAAAGCTCGGGGACATTTCAAGGCTGTGATATCACAGTTAAAGAGCACAGTTGATGCCAGTATTGACTCCACATTCATTAGGGCTTTTATTGCTTGTCTTTTTCACTCTTTATTCCTTTACTTCTTTTCTCTCTCTCCCCCTATTTTCTCTGTCTTTTCTTTTAGTCTTTTAGAAACTATGGCAATTTTCTTAACAGCACATATATTCTGCATGACTGACCATGTATTTGATTCAAGTCGAAAATGTGCAAGAAAATGAAATTCACAGAACAGTGGCTCCGCAGGCTCAAAATTTGCATCACTTATCTTCATAGATATTTGTAGACATTTATATGTTTAAAGTGGGAAATTACATAATGAGATTACTGTTAAAAGCATTTATATTGCACATGGTGCTGTCGGACATAAATGTGAATGTACCTCTGTGTGGTTTTATATCCATCAAGAAGAATTTGGCCTAATCAGCCTTACCTCATTTCAATTTCTGGCTCCTAAAGCCACATTTCACCCAGAGCCATTCGGATGAGCTGATTAGACTGATAAGTGACTCTTGACACTAATACAGGGGAGGACATTTTGATAAATGAACAGATTAACAATCCAGAATTCACCTTTACGCTGTAACCACTGAGGCAAGTAAGAGCCCTAAAAGCCCCAGCTGCAAGGGTGTATTAGTTAAGACATTTGCCAGTATCAGCAGCGATGACAGCTGGGTCCCCTGCACTATTGTCCCAGTGTGATGGTGACCAGCCTTATCAAAGATCCCTCATGTGTGATTTGGGGCCGATTCGCCTTAGATGAGACAGATGCTCCCTCCTATAAATGCTCAAAATACCAAATCTAGACTTCAGTGATAGAGATTTGTCTCTTAAAAATAGCACAACATGTATTTTTGTTTTACTTTATGTCACATTTGCTGCATGGTTTTATTAGAATTTTTTTTAAATGACACTCATTTCATTGACATTCACAGAATACATGGTAGCTAATAATGCACTACAGTCAGCTCCACACACACAGTAATGGGCACATTGCTAACTGTTGTGTTTGTCCTGCAGATGACATGGAGGCCATCCCCGTTAAGCAGTTCATTAAACACATCATGGAGCTCTACAAGAACAACCTGCAAGGTTTCTCTGAAGAGTTTGAGGTACACTTCTCAACACCACTTCAACACTGATTCATTTTGAAGCCTTGTTAACCTTTGCTATACAACTAATTGTGCTTTTACGTTGGAGTTGGGTTCAGTTGTTCCGTACATCGTCGCCTTTTAGTTCTGCTCCGCTTCATGTTCACATCGACTTATTCAAAACTACTGAAGAGGAGTGAACATGAAGTCATTACATGGGCTGACAGGTGACTTGTTGATTGGACAGTTTTGGCAGCCGTCGTCCTGCAGCATCAGCAGTATCGCAGGTCATGCAGCACTTTACTGCGCCCACTTATTTATTTATGTTCTCTGGTGTGTCGGGGAGCTCATAAAGAAATAATTGACGATGAACATTGTCATAAATAGTGTTGTTGGTTGTTACATGTCATGCATTTCACTCTGATTTGATTGGCCGGGTTGCTTTTTTGACGGCTCACGATCAGCAGATGAATTTATTAGTAGTTCAGCTTTTGAGTCGTCAAAAATGACTGATGCTCTGCTGTCATAAAATCCAGTAATAATCCCATAATCCTCATATGAGCCCCGCCACAGTCTGCTCGGGGGCAAACAGAGACCCTCCTTTTCAGATGGTCTGCTTGTTTGATCTGCACCAAGTTCCTGTTACAGTTTTTCATACAAACTTTCCCACCAACATGGAATTGGTCCGTAGAAAGTGGAGAAGGCCACAATGCAGAAGTCAAGTAAGAAATCGTTGGGGAAAAGAGGAGCGTGCACAAGTCTGTTTCAGTGGTTCTCAAATGGTGTGCCGATGCCAATCCAGGTGTGCCATGGCATTTCATGATAACCACACATTAGCCTAGTATTGCAATATTCAACTGAGTCGTACAAAAAGTTATGAATGAATTTTTAATTGACTGTAACAGCCATTTCCTAATAAAGAGGCAAACTCTAGTCAAAAAATGTAATTTAATTTAAAAATCCATCACAGGGAACCTATTTGTCGCCATTCAAGGGTAGGAATTATAAGTGTGTGACACATCAAAAGCCCTGATTGCCAGCCAGTGTGAGGGATGATAACAATTAAAAGGAGAAAGCCATGAGCGGGACAATGAATTGGACAGAGCAAATTATGATAAACCTTTACCGAAGACGACCTACTGCTGTCAGTAGACAGTATCATGAAAGCTACCTGTCTTATTTTTCTTATTTTAATGGTCTTATGCCATGATAAGAGTGATAACACACATTATAGAATCTATTGTGCGCAGCTATAAATACAGGTGTGCCTTGAGACTTTGGATCGTCCTTTGGTGTGCTTAGGGCACAAAGAGTTTGAAAACCACTGATCTATTTGGTCCAAGCTTGTCGTTTTGGATAAAAACAAATATCTGTAACAACAGGACAGAGGCTCGCAGGTAGTTACTCTAATATGACACTTTTCTACTGTTGTACATTGTGCCATGCCCTCCACTGATGACACATCCTTGATTATAATGGTTCCACTTCCAAAGGTTGGAAATGCGAGCTGGTTCGCTAGATAGCACCAAGGTTCAGTAAGTTATGAACAGAACAGGTTTAAGAATCAGAACTGAGAGTGGATGGACTGATCTATTCAGCGCAGTTAATCTCCCCTTTACTGTGGGCATGTTGTCTGTAAGTGGGCCTGGGTCTGAACAGTGGTTAGAGATTACTTTATGCATGTATTGGTGTGCAGCTTTGCTACTTTTGAACAGATGGTTGAGAGCAAGACGGAGAGAAGGATCAAGAGAGACGGAGGTTAATTAGAGAAGGTCTGTCTGCTGCTGGACTGGATGGGAACACATTCTCTGTGTAACCAGGTTAAGAAATGAAGCAAAAGCTCTGCCCCCAGAGGATTTCCTCTAATTGGGGTCATTTGATGTGAGGCTCGTGTGGATAATTTTCAAATGCATCACAATGAAGCTGTGTCGGAGATGATTGTTATATTTTTGGGGGTGGGCGGGGGTGGGGTGTGGCATAGCGAGGACGAGGAGATGAAGGCTGTCCTGCTGGAGGCCTGAGTTCAAGCCCCAGTGGCAGCAAGCATCTGCTCTTCTGAAGTGTCCTTGACCGAGACACTGAATCCCTGCCAGAGGTTCTGCTTTGCAGTTTATCCTGAGCTCCTTGTGCAGCCGGCAAGTTTGAAGAATAGAAAGAAGAGTTTTCCTGTCAAGCGCAGAAAAAAGAGAAAGTCCAGGGCTGTACTGAATGCCTCTTTTTAACAGTCAGAGCTTCTATTGAGGTTTTTGAAGAAAGCTTTGAATGCCTGTTGTCATATTTTCCGTAAAAAAAACAAATTCTTGTTTATGGTATAAAATGCAAGATAGGGATGCACTGATATAAATTTTGCAGCCGATACCAATAACCGACCTGCTTCTCATGGCTGGTAACTGATAAGATAACTGATACTTTCACATTTTTGTATTTTAAAAGGAGATTATAACCTGTAGTTTATGTACAGCTGAGGGTGAGAAAGGCGAAGATGTGGTGAGAAAATATGGCTGATTTAATATTCCTTAGGTCAGACCAAACCAAATTAATCTGACATCACTACTGTTAACACAACAAAAACAAACAACAGTTCTGACTCCTCCATACCTGCCAGCATTTGGCTGGGTAAAACACGGAGGTGTCAAACGATGATTCACCTCACATATTAACACTCAACTCAGACAAACAAGTGGCTGTCTCTCACACACACACACACACACACACACACACACACACACAGAGCCAGAGAGACAGACGTTTTCCACACTGGGTTGCCAGGTAATGACACAAATAATCGCTAACTGTAGCATCACATGGCTAATGGTTAATAATAAGTTTAACAACAGAGTCGAGCCTTTTAAAAGCTCTGTGTTGGATGTGAGCTGCTGCTGCTAATTAGCTTGTGCTAACACTGTGAAGACGGTTCTTCAGTGCTGTGTCTAACCTGTGTGGGGCAGTCGCAGATCAGACCTTCAGCGCAGTCCTGTTGTCTTCCTCTGGAACTGTGAAAGACGTCCACACAGCGACATGTTTCGCCCTCTAGACAGCATGCTGCAGTTGTAGTTAATCTTCTGCTCTGTGTTCATTAGCGGCTCATAAAGGTACATGTAGCGCCACACACTGTGTCAGGTGTGTAGATGCTGCCCTTATTAAAGGTGCTGTATGTAAGAATGTGGCCAAAACGGTTACTGCACTCAAATTCAAAATACTGCTGTGAGTCGTGTCCGCCCCCCCTCACCTACAGATTTGAGGTTGCTGGACAGCGGCACGCTGGAGACTGATTTGTTTGCCAATGGGTGGCTGCTGTGGCAGGGCCACGTCGCCGCGTCCTTGATCTCCGGTTTTCCAGCGGACCATTCGAGCAAGTCCGGCTTCTCTGCTGCTAACACTGCTGCCGGGATACAGCTGAGGAGGAGCCGGCTGCTAATGCTATGTACTGGGATGCTGCTAATGCTGCTTGCCGTGCTGCTGTAGCTCAGTCATAACTGTAACTGATGCTGAGACTCTACTGACTGTGTGACTGGTAGATGGCGGTAGGTGGCGCAACAAGCCAAAACACAAATTCAAAACATAAACATGATTTGCAGACTGCAAAAAAATTTTTTAGATGCAAATATTCTGGCCGTACTGTTGTTGTCGGTGAGATCTGTATGTTATATGAACATTATTCCTTAGTCTCTGTGACATATTAGGAGCATTTTACGACTATTTGCTTTATATTTCTTACATATAGCTCCTTTAAGTCAGTGAAAGTAGTCTAGCTTTGCATTATCGGTGCTTATCGGCTGTAATTTTAATGAGCGGAATAATGCATAATTGTGAAAATGTCTGATTATTGGCCGATAATTTATCAGCCCGATATATATTATGCATCCCTAATGCAAGATTGTCAGTCACTGTTTGTAAACACACCTGCCAGCAAAAGTGAAAGTAAAAGCAAAATCCCAATTTACTCTCAGTTGGCATTTTGCCTCGATATATTTGCGAGGTTTTTTTGATGCTGTGTTTCTCAGATGCCCGCTGTTTACATTTCTAGCCGCAACCTCATCTGAGTGCTGTGGGGGCACACCGCCATATACATCCCGAACACAGCAAATAAAAATAAAATTAGAAAATACAAGCAGAGGGCAGAAAAATACACCTCCTGCGTGTGACACTTAAGCGGCCTTCACATAATAAGAACAATGCACTTCGCTCACCGCCAGGTGCGGCAGAGCGGTGCGGTCAATGTTCAAATAATTTCAACTCTGAGCGCAGCACTCAGGCGGAAAATCCAAGTGGTGCGCGTCGCCAAGGGTAGCGGTGCCGCTTTGTCAGGCGTTGCCGCCCTCTCCATAGACAAACAACGGGACAGCCAGCACAAAGCGGTTTTACAGCTGATCATGTGTAGAGGCCTTAAGAGTGGGTCAATATGTGATGGTTGTGAGGAATTTGGTTTGTGTTGGTCTGTACATTGTTTGTTTTGGATAATTCTACATAATATATCTTTAAATGAGCTTTTACTTTTTTATTAAGTCAATTTTCTTTAATGAACAAATTTAAATTGTGGTGCTGCTGCGAGACCACCCCTACAGGGGCAGCACTCTAACAGCCACTGTAGCATAACACCACTGGTGTTTAGCATGGGGGCTAACTAGCCAACAGGGTCAGCAGATAATATAATATCACCGTTGTTTTGCATAATCACCACTGAGAGGAAACCACGGCTATTTAACCTGCTTAGTGGAGGTCGATGCATCGCAGCAGGCCCAGTATTCAGGCCTGTGCTGTTACGATTTGTTCCCAGTAAGACGGCTAAGAGTCTACTTTCCGCTGTGTGTGGAGCCCTTGCGGGTACAGTAAGTCTCGCCCTTCCGGCAAGCACCTGGTTTAAACAGACTGAATAAAATCTTCTAAATCAAGTCTCATTATACACATTATACTGTTTTTTTATTCTGCCATACATTATTATTGTGTGGAAGTGTTTGAAACACATATAAAACGAATACAAATCCTATTTTCATGCTTCTAAAGAGAGCCATTAGAATTATGAGCAAAATACAAAAATAATACTAACGTAGGAGAACAGGTTGCAGGATCTTGAAGGTGTGTACTTTGCCTTTTGTATGTTTTTTTTGTTGCTATTTTGCCTTGTTTGTCTGGTTTGGTGTGTTTTATTGTTGACTGCTAAACATGATGTGCTCCTAAAAGGGTAGGTGTTATAAGCTGTAGCTTCAGCCTACACATTTTCAGACAGCAGAAGTGTCTAAGTTATGTCTAACTTAATGAACCAGCGACGCAAAAAGATATTGACACTGTACTATTTAAGTATCTGCCATTTTCTGTGAGAGGCTGTGACTTTATTTACATGAATTTGGAGATTAAGACACAATGTTCCTATTTCTATTTGCAGACCGAAATAAATTCTAAATTCTAATTATTGAATAGACATGCAAAAAAGATTTTAAAAAGCTGCGCAGCGTTCAAATGTTTATTTATTATTTTAATTCTAACGTCATGAATAAAGCTTCAGACCAGTCGGCACAGCCCAAAAGACGTCTGAGAAGTTTTCCTTGTTAAGAAATAAAAACCTGCTGTTTCTGTTAAAGCTCTGTAACAGTTAGAGCGGGTAATTCCGTTACATCTTCCCTCCTTGTTTAATAAAATCCATCTCTGTCTATTTTTCCTCTCTCCAGGAGGTCCAACGCTCCACAGCAGACCTGAAAATCACAGCAGAACACTCCAATCATCCAGACAACAAGCACAAAAACAGATATATCAACATTGTGGCCTGTGAGTCAGCTGTGAAATCTGATTATGATGTCTACTGCTGCGCAATCCAATAATGCTTTTATAACATGTTTTCATCCTTTTAATAATCCATACAATTATATCAACGCTCTCCCTAGATGACCACAGTAGGGTGAAACTACGAGCTCTGGCGGGAAAAGATGCCAAACACTCGGATTACATCAATGCCAACTACGTGGATGTGAGTTTTACCAGACACCTGACTAGTTTTCTTCACAGGTCTAGTCTGGGTTTCTTTTCTGTGTTAGAAAGGTTGTATCGTGAACAGTCGTAAATGCTGACATCTTTATTTAAAGTATTGATTGACGGATCACAATCACAACACCGACAAGACAGAGCAGTAAAAAAGGGGAATCTATTTTAAGAATATTGATTAATGTATAAATATTTACACTTTGTGTCAGCTGAAGGAGTGGATTCCATGACCTACCAATGTCTTGTATCAGTAAACCAGTCATTTCAGCTGCACAGGGGCTGTGGGTTATTTGCACAATATTGATCACATCTTACCAGTAAGTACACCACCACTCTCCTGTTTCAGGGCTACAACCGGCCCAGAGCTTACATAGCTGCTCAGGGTCCTCTCAAGTCCACGTTCGAGGACTTCTGGAGGATGGTGTGGGAGCAGAACACGGGAATCATCATCATGATCACCAATCTGGTGGAGAAAGGCAGAGTAGGTTCTCTTTCATTTTAATATGCAGTCAGAAGTACAAACACAAATCCTTCACAGACATTAACTGCCTTTGTTTATTGTGTCTGTTGTGTCCTGCAGAGGAAATGTGACCAGTACTGGCCGACAGAGAACAGCGAGCAGTATGGAAACATTGTGGTGACGCTGAAGAGCACCAAAGTGCACGCCTGCTACACACTGCGGCGTTTCCTTATAAGGAACACTAAAGTTAAAAAGGTAACTCACAGTCAGGCTCGTTCAAAGCTGTTTTGTTTACATGAGATTTTACTTTTTACACCTGGATCAGCTATTCGTTAATCTGTGACTAAGGTTGTATGTAAAGTCCGTTTTAGAGAGATTAAAATTTGTGATTTACTAAAGTGGGTTGCACTGTTAGAATTTAGGGAGTCACTGTTTTGCAAGTCACAAGTGAGTTTCAAGTCTTTGCACTCAAGGCAGCAGTCTAGTCCCTAGTCAAAAATAAGAAGTCTCAAGTCCAAAGTCCAAAACTTTAAGTTTAATGCCATTTTAACAACTGATTAATAAGATAATAAATTTACAAAAATCTTGAATGCTTTTTAAGGTTTGTATTTATATGTTAAAACAAGTTTGTTCAAAAGTTACGTAGCTGTTAAGCGAATGTTAGCTTGCTAACTTTGTTAATATTTTCCTCGGCTCGCGTTCTTTATGCAACTTCAAATGTCAAACCAAGTTGTTGCATCTCTGTCTGTAACTTTTGACCTGCAATTTAATTTTTGTTGACTACCACATAGTTTTTTAAGCAAACATAACTTGGTTATTTTTCTGCCTGCACTCAGTAATGTAACTTGCCTGGATGCTGTCAGATGGTTCAAACAAAGTGGATCATCTGGGGAATTAAAGTGTTTAAAGTGTTGACTTGCTTGGAATGAATAGCTTTAACATTAATAGATTAAGGAATGAAGGGAAAGTAATTAACATAAAACAACATGTTTTTTAATCTTTGGGTTTTGGGGAAGGTATCAAGTGTTTCCAAGTCAAAAGGCTCAAGTCCAAGTGAAGTCACAAGTCATTGTTGTTTAAGTCCAAACTGAGTTGCAAGTCTTTGTTGATTTTATCAAGTACAGTCTAAAGTCATTAAGTTTGGGACCTGAGTCTGACTCCAGTCCAAGTCACATGACTCACACCCACAATTCTTGTTGCTAGAACACAACAGTAGGACCTTTGATTTAAAAGCAATCAAAAGGAAGTCACTGTGGTATCACAGGCTGTAGCATGACTTCCAAAAATAACAGTTTTAGGAACCAAGCGATATATTAAACTTGTGTGCTTCCTCTTTACAGGTATGACTGTGTTTTATTTCTATATAGCTACACAACAGTTACACATTTACAGATATTTAGTAACATCTAATTTCTGTGTATAGCCCAAGTATGGGACTAGTATTACTTAAGGACCTCATGGTTTAGAAATTACCCCCCACCACCACCACATCTGTGTTTCATGTGGCACATTTGCACAGGAATTCTTTATTTTACTCAGATTCACTGACATTATCCCTCAGATATGATGGGTACAGTCATTTATAACTCCACTCTACACAACACAGAAACACTAGTGATGAAGTACAGTGGTAATTGATCTCCATGATTTCTTCTTCTTTTTTATGATAGGGGTCAAACAAATAGAAAACATACATCATCTATGTGATCATCTTTTGAGATTTGCTCTACTACACAGCATAGGTCTCCACGCTGCTATTTGTTGTGGTATTTTTACTTGACAAATTACGAACATGGCAGATCTGCACAGGATTAACATCACAGACGACCTTCACAATTACTATAAATAACCAGAAGTCCCCAGGTCATGCTTCTTCTGTGTGAATAGGGCTCAAGACTGAGTTTGAATTCTTCAGGCCCTTTTCTAAGGTCTTGCATTAAATCTCCACTTAGACAACACCTATGTCATCAGTACTTAAAACAAGTGATTCACCCAGTACACCTTCATGTTCAGTGAGCTAAGAGACTGAATGTATTCTCACCAGGCTCACAGGTCTGCTCTCATGTTCTAGGGTCAGAAGGGGAATCCAAAGGGGAAGCTAAACGAGCGCATCGTGGTCCAGTATCACTACACTCAGTGGCCTGACATGGGAGTCCCAGAGTACACCCTCCCCGTCCTCACCTTCATCAACCGCTCATCAGCGGCTCGCACTGCAGACATGGGCCCTGTCCTGGTGCACTGCAGGTACGGTACTTATCACGGAGCCACAGGGCTAAATGAGCGTTACTTATGAGTGCTGGAGGCTCATATTTGCTGACTGGGTTAACAGCTCCCTCTATGGGCCTGCCATTATGCTCATATTGCTTTGTGCTCCTCTCTTCAGTGCAGGGGTTGGGCGCACAGGAACGTACATTGTCATTGACAGCATGCTACAACAGATCAAGGACAAAAGCACAGTCAGCGTCCTGGATTTTCTCAAACATATCCGCACACAACGCAACTACCTGGTTCAGACTGAGGTGAGAAAACCCTAAAAGTGTCCCTTATATTGTGCAACCTCTTTTATATTATAAAGGTCATTTCTGATTAGAAATGTATAGGGAGTTATGAAAGCTATTCAGTTTGATATTGTAGGATCAGGTTAGGGTTGCACTTGCTGCCGTTTTATTGGAACACACAGTACAAACTATTACACACTCAGCATAATACAAGTGTCCACACTGGCTGTTCTCAGGCTACGGTTATGTACTTGATTTTATAAGTGATGGAGGAGTGAGGTGTTCCTACCTTCACTGTCAGGTCTGACCACAGACAATTTCCTGTAACTGTGATGTCGTTGTTGTTGTTGTTGTTGTTGTTAGCTCTATTTAGGTTTTCTCTTCTTTTAAAGTCACAAATAACCTTCCCACTTAACTTCACACCTGATTGTTCATTCTTGAAATTCAGATAAATCTCTGTGACTTTGCATATTCAAATATATTTTGATGCAAATTCTCAATGTACTTTTACTTGAATAAAATATTCAATGCACGACTTTAAAGGTGTATGATGCAGGATTGTTGATTACTCTTTGACAGCACACTTGCCAGCAATAGTTAAAGTCAAAGCCAACCTCAGATTCACTCTTGGTTGGCGCTATGCCTTGCTATATTTGTGTTTTTTTCTGCACCGTCTCTTGGATTCCTGCTGCTCACGGTCTGGCACCTGGTCACTACCTTTTTATAAAGCCTCGACCTCATCTGAGTGCTGTGGGGATACACGCCCATAAATGTCCTCAACACAGGAAATAAGAAAATACAGGAAGAGGGCAGAGTCTCTGCAGAAAAATACACCGGCACACACTTTTATAGTGGGTCAATAAGTGATGATTTGTCATGGTGGCACGGCGGTGCAGTGGTTAGCATTGTCGCCTCACAGCAAGAGTGCTACTGGTTTGAACCCAGGGTGGGAGAGCCTTTCTGTACGGAGTTCACATGTTCCTCTCGTGTCAGCGTGGGTTTTCTCCGGGTGCTCCGACTTCCACAATCCAGACATGCAGACTCTACAATTGCCCCTAGGTGTGAGTGTGAAAAAAAATGTTTTGGATTTTTTTTTTTTTTTTTTTCCCCGCAGGGTTTTATTTTTTCCAGGGTTATATTTTTTGTTGTGTCTGCAGTTATCCATACTGTATAATGATGTGTTTTATAATTTGATTTTGAACGCCCTGGGTCTGCCCACAGGAGCAGTATGTTTTCATCCACGACGCTCTGATGGAGGCCATCATGAGCAGAGAGACAGAGGTGCCGGCATGGCAGCTGCACAGTTATGTCAACAGCATCCTCACGCCCAACTCGACAGGCCGCACGCTGCTGGAGAAGCAGTTCAGGGTGAGTAAACCTTCTGGGTCTGACTGGTCCGCTCAGATGAGCTGTCACCGTCCGCGGCGGCGCCACCAGCTGAAATCGAGATTGCCTTCGGATCAGAAGCTTGTTAGCAACGCGCACGGTGGCTTTCCAGTTCCAGACAGGAATAGATTGAAAACGTCTCTGATGTTGGCTGTAATAAAGTCATGTCTGTCACCCCTGCTGCCTTATGCAAAGCTTGATGAATGTTTCATCAAGCTCCTGCTCCGTCAACATCAGGAGAGGGAAACTAATTGCTCGCACATAATGTCACTTCCTCCCGAGCTTCACATGCTCATTATTAACGTGAAAGACTTAATCTCGGGCGTTAAACATCAATGTATGGTATGTTTGATTTTAATGTGCAGTGACTCTCCGGATTAAAATCTGATTTTCTGATCTTCTTGTTTTTTGTTTTCTGTCTCACCAGCTGTTGACTCAGTGCAACGCACGCTTTGCAGAGTGCTTTAGTGCCCACAAAGAATGCAACAAGGAGAAGAACCGCAATTCCTCGGTGGTTCCCTGTGAGTATCTTATCTGTTTTACAACAACACATCTACAGTGGAGCTGAGGTCATATCGAACATGTGAAGCCGCTGCAGTCAGGGGTGTCAAAGGCTGGTTATAGTGGGTTGCTGTAGGAGTCATACTGCAACAATATATTTAAATCTGAAGGATACATTTACACTCGGACACTATTAAAAGCATAAAAGCAAAAAAAGGGTCTGTGTTGGTTACCTTCTCTCCTTTTGAAACAGAGGAAAATAAGAATTACAGCATTTCCTAATGTGGTATTCTACATTTTCCTATTTTTCAGTCTGTGAATTATTAAAGACAATTCGTGTTCCGAAATTAGAATCTATTTCCATAATCCTATAAGTTAATCTTTCTATGCGTTCTCTGCACCCTGACAGGGAAAAGGACGTACTTGTTTCTATAGCAACAGCCAGTGCTGGTAATGAATGTGTGCATTATCAGCCAGTGCGATATTATAGAGGCCTGGGTTTGTGATTTAAAGTATTTCTTTTTTTTTCTCTCTCTCTCTCTCTCCTCCCTCTCTTCAGCGGAGCGAGCAAGGGTCGGACTCACCACTCTGCCTGGAATGAAAGGAACAGATTACATTAACGCGTCCTACGTAATGGTACAGTGTGATCGTCTGCCTACTTTATCCTCGCTCGCTGTGCTTTTTTTTTTTTTTGTTTGGAAGATGTTTATTGACAGGTCTGACAGTTATTGATGACAGTTTCTTAGAAAATGATCAGTAGCCTGTCAGCTTTCACAGCCATTCATCAGCGTGTGTGCTCCGAGCTTCAGAAAGGCTAACAACTCCCATCTGTCACCCCAGGGTTACTTCAGGAGTAATGAGTTCATCGTTACCCAGCACCCTTTACCCCACACCACCACAGACTTCTGGAGGATGATTTGGGACCATAACGCTCAAATTATTGTCATGTTGCCTGACAACCAGGGCTTGGTAAGTTACCCTGGGGCATAATAAGGTGGTCTTTATGGGTTTTTTTAATTTGCATTTTGATCCACAATGTCTCTTAGCGTTTAATATAATGTAGTCTACACACAGACAGAAAACCTAATAATAAAAAACAAAGAATTAGTGATTGTTAGATAAATAAAGGAACCTGCAACATACCTTGTCTGACCGGCTGTTGCTTCTCTGCAGGCTGAGGATGAATTTGTTTACTGGCCAAGTCGGGAGGAGGCCATGAACTGCATCGCCTTCACTGTCACACTCATCAGTAAGGACAGACTGTGCCTCTCCAATGAGGAACAGATCATCATTCACGACTTCATCCTAGAGGCCACACAGGTACCACATTGACCATACTTATCCCTCATTTCCACTGTATGGCACGGCTCAACTCAACTCTACCTGACTCATTGTTGGTACCAGGTCCTTCTCTCTATTTAATTGTCCACTGTGGACAGAACCCCCTCAGGGTAGGCCGGATTCTCAGCTGATCACCGTAAAGATGCTGCTTGAAACTACTGTGACATCATTGTCAACACAACACTCACTGAATCCTTTTATCGGCAAAAAAAAAACAGAGGCGTGTCTGCACTACGTCAAGTGTAAAGTGTAGTTTTGCCATTTTTCATAGTCCATGAAGAGTGAATAAAAAACTTGCCGTTGATGTGAGATGATATCAAAAAAAAGTATCCAGTACTATCCACAACTTTTGTCAATGGAAAACCATTAAAAGTGCGACGCGAGTTAAGTAGAGCCGTGTCGTACCATGCAATGCAAATGCAGAGAATTCAAGTCAGGAGTTCCTGGCCATTCTTGTTGTCTGATTGCTGTGACTTGACTTGCACAATCCCAAAGAAGCAATGCAATATTTCTGTCTCTGCTGTGTGTGACAGGACGACTACGTTCTGGAGGTGAGACATTTTCAGTGCCCTAAATGGCCCAACCCCGACGCTCCTCTCAGCAGCACCTTCGAGCTCATCAGCGTCATCAAAGAGGAGGCCATGACTCGAGATGGCCCCACCATCGTGCACGATGAGTACGTTTGTGTTTACCTCTACATGTCCTATGTCAGCGTAGGGGAAGTTTACTCGTACCTGAGATCAGTCCTAGCCTGCACCAGGACTCTCTAATTTGATTACCATTTGATTTTTATCTCACAGTGTCGACCTTGCTTATTGTCGAACGGCTGCATTTGGTACTTTAAGGGTTCAGGAGTGGCGACAGAATCCTGAGATGTTTAATTACTTTTGAGTTGTCCTTGCTAAACTGTAGTGTTTGCACAAGTAGGATAGACAACAAGCCACTAAATGTAGAGTGCTCTCCACAGTTTGGGGTTTGAGAGTCCTCCAGTGCATACCAGCTTTGAGAATCTACAGGCAACAACCAAGATAAACAAAATTACCACTCTGAAGTCTCTCAGTAACCAGGCAACTACAACAACTTCAGCAACTATTCCCCTCTGACGTCTTTTCCTACAGACCTCTGTGCCTTCAGCACCTCAGCTGCTGTTAGTGAAAACATCAGCTAATTGAATAGTCTCCATCAGCGAAGGTCCTGATCATCAATCACACTTCTTTCCTCATTTACCTAAAGCTGTTTCTGAAGTTGTCTCCGACTCAATAACAAGCCACTCTGTGTCCACACCTATTTACACCAGATGCTAATGTCATGGGATGTTAATTGCTAACAGTCTGCGCGGAGGTAGTTGTTTACCTCACACATTTTATCCTTTAATATCCTGAGTGTATTTCTTTGGCAGTCACTTGTTATTATCTTCAGTCTGCAGTTAGTTAAAGACGATGAGGATGAGATTTAAACACTAAAACTACACACAAGAAAACAGACCTACACATTGTCATGTGTGATGGAGTACAGCTGAGGATTTATGGGTTGTGATGTCACATTGTTGAAGACAGTCTGGACCCACAGTTGTTCCACAGAGCTAATTGTGATCATGTCCACACAGGTATGGAGCCGTGTCAGCAGGCATGCTCTGCGCCCTCACCACACTGTCCCAGCAGCTGGAGAACGAGGGGGTCGTGGACATCTATCAGGTGGCTAAGATGATCAATCTCATGAGGCCGGGTGTCTTCACTGATATAGTAAGTTCACTTTTTTTTGTTGAATACAAACACGAGGGATTCAAGATCAGAATTTTAACAACTGGGAACCATGAAAGATTAAAAATTGAAATACCAGCAGGCAGACAGAGTCAGCATTGAGCAGCTAAAGGGCCAGATATTTCCCTCAGGAGCTGGTGGAGACCAAAACTGAGCTTGAAGGCATTGTCAGGTGGACACAAACACGACTCCAAAAAAATGCTAATATTGCTCCGTATCTGCTTGATGTGTGAATAGGCATTGGTTTGCTAGCACCTTCACCATGTTAGTGTTGTGCTTACAGCATCTTCTTCTGCTTCAATAAATACTGCTTTAAAGCAACACTGAAGGCTGCACTGATAAATGTTTTGTTGCTAGCAGCCAGAAAAACACAGTTAACACCAACACTAGCTTACGTGTTGTGGCTGACATGTTAGCAAACAAGCCCATTTTCCATCCAGCACACAGACTAATGTTAGCGTTCATTTTAACAGTTTTCTCCAGCTGTTGAAACCAAGACCAACCATCAGCTGTTTTTGGTTTTAAACCATATCTTGTTGAAAATATCTCAGGCATTGGCTACTAAATTCTCCACTGTGTTTACTGGTTACTTGGTTACTCTCTCTTTCATTAAGTGCTGAGCAGGTAGTAGATTTTTTGACAGCTGTTTAATTGAGGTCAGTGAAAATTGTTGAGATGAGTGCTCATTTTGTTAGTGTTTGTCTTAGTCCTGTGTCCTGTGTACTTATGAGCATGACCACAGTGCATGGACTAAGACGCCCATCTCCCTGCTACACCTCCAACAGTCTGGCGTTTCTTTTAAACCCAGTCTGAATAGCCTGCAGGGGTAACAGAATAGATGGGAGTAGATTTATTCTGATATCTATGGAAACCTCCTTGGTAACCCCAATGATTTTATCCCACTCATCTTCTCTAAAGGTGGTGCCCGAGTCCCTTCCTCACTGTATTTTCAGAACTGAGCTGAACTCGTACCAACACTTGTTTATACGCACAGAGTAGTAGTGAGAGTCGGGTTGTTTGTTTTTTTTAAGTCGATTTTTCAATGGCTAAAAGTCTGTGTTTGTGTGTGTCCACAGGAGCAGTACCAGTACCTTTACAAAGCCATGCTCAGCCTGGTCGGTAACAGAGAGTGTGGCCTGAGCCCCATGCACATGGACACTAACGGGGTGGTGGTGATCGCAGACGAGTCGGACCCCGCGGAGAGCATGGAGTCGCTCGTCTGAGGATGTTCTCACAGGCACTTAATTTGTAAAAAACTCGAGAACTTTTCTGAGGCCTTTTTTGCCAGACTATTGATTAAATGAATAACCTTATTACTTTTTATACTGATAAAAGTTTTTTGATATTTATGTTTTTGTCCTTTATTTCTCGTCTTAAATGTTATCCTGCTGAGCGTTTGCACCTGTTTAAGTTGACGTGAGGAAAAAGCAGCTCTGTCCAGTTTGCACTATACTATCAGTGTTACTGCCTAAATCCAGTGAGTGAAGACGTTTCACAGTTTAAACCCTGGCATCACGACACGACCCGGGATCTTTGGACCGCGTTGAGACAAACCTGAAGCATGAAGAACCAGGACGAGTTAAAGCGGTCCGCTCCCGATAATGTCTCGAAACAAAAAAAACACCACAAGTAGCCCAGCACGCATCACGTCACTTTTATCACCTCGATCAAACGAACAGTTATGAGGCTCCGCTCCACGCGGGTGAAGCTTTTTATGACACGTTAAGAGACTATTAACTGCTTAATATTCATATATTGTCCAAATATCTCACTGCTGTCTTGTATAATGTACTTATGGCTTATTTTGTTAAAGTGTGTTACAACATCTAATGTGAACATGTATTGCTTTTTACAGGGATTTATATTGTTATATTGTTTTGTAATATATATATTATATCCTTAATAGCCAGCCAATGTTTCTTTTTTTTCTTTTAATATTATTTTGTTTTTAGTGCTTTCGCCTATTTGTCCACTGGCCTTGGTGTAGAATCATGTTTTATGAAATTGTCATGAATAATCTACAATTCTTTATTTTTTTTTCTGTCATCTTTTATTTTCAGCTTCTCTAACCTCAACTGTCAAAGCTCAGCTGTTAACACGTGTAATGGGTATCTGTATTGACACAGTACAGTGTCTACAGGAAGCGTTAACCTCGCACAGACTGTCATGTTTTATTTTTTTTACACAGTGGATGTAATTATGATTTTGCTTTTAGCACTGATCAAGTAAATATCAAATGTTTACAAATTGATTTAAATGAATTACAAATGGAACCCCCCCCCCAAAAATTGATTCTGCGGCTATTTACGTTCTGGCAACATTTACAGTGAGTCTGTGGATAGCTTTGTACATCTGGACACATTTGCAGTTTATCATGTTGCCCTGTAAGTTTAATGAGGACTGTTTCTCGACTAAATTGACGACTTAAGCCGTACTCACACGGGACTGGTGTAACCTGGGGCTGCAATATTCGAACTTAGTCTTAAGTCCTTTGCACGGAACAAGCATGACCTAATTGCAGAGGTCATCTGCGATCTTAATCACGTGCCGATCACTTTGCTCAGAATCGGTTCTGTTTGTTTAACCCACATTTAAAAAGAAAAACGGGAGGTTAATACTGTGCATCATCCCTAGTGGTGTTTTGTGGTGTTTCTGTGTTGTGTATTGTGGAGTTACAAATGACTGCGCATCATATCTGCGGGATAATGTCAGTAGATCAGATTAAAAAGCAGACTTTGCTTTTCCCTTGCAAATAGAGCTTTGGACTGACTCGGCTGCTTAAAGACATTAATATTGTTCCTTAAAGATAGACTATGCAGGATTTTCAAAAAAAAAAAAAAAACCAACTATGTATAGACTCACACAGAAGCAAGCCCTTTCAATCATCGATTATGACCCACTAGAAGTGTGTGGCAGTGTATTTATCTGCAGAGACCAGGTGCCAGACCGACTTTCACTTTCACTGGCGATACGATTAACAAAAACTTACTGACAGCTCCTGCATAGTGTACCTTTAAAGCCACCCCCGTGCGGCTGTCGCTATATATTCAAGGTCTAGTGAGCTGCAGCTTCCTCCAGGATTCCTTTCTACTTTACTGCCTCCTTTTTATTCTCTACCTTCACGATCCTTGAAGGGGTCTGTTGCAGAGGAGTATCCTCGCCAGGCCTCGTGATGAGGATGGTGTGTTTTTGCAGATGTGCCGTGTTTGGCTTACACTCCACTAATGAGCCCACTTTACGGTCTCATTAGTGCCCTTACTCTTCTCCTCCTCGACGTACTTAGTTTCTGAGGGTGATTTTTAGAGCTGTGCCACACTCCTTCAACTTTTATAATCATGTTAGGGATATCCAGTGCCTTGGAAATGTTCTTTTATCCTTCCCCTGATTAGTGCTTTTCAGGAAAGTCACAGAGTTGTTTGGAGTTTGTTACGGTGCAGTTTTTAGCAGGTCGTTGGACGTGTGGATGTTGACCACACACAGGTGATCTCCATTCAGATTGTCAAACAGTGGCTGCACCAGTGATGATTTTTTTAACTTAGTTTTTAGCTGTCTCAATCGAGTCATTTTCTTTTGATCAGTGTAAAACAAAATCCTAATTACAGCCATTTTAAAGTAAGAAAACAAACATGAAATCATCCACAGGAGGTGAATGCTTTCTAACAGGCACTGTATTTTCTTTTTAGGGGGGGTGATGCTTTATTTGTAACCAAAGATGTGGTTCCAGTTTGCAACATGTACGTGGTTTTGTCCTGAGATCTATTTAATCAACTAGAATTTAAAATCAAAATTGTTGAAATGCAGTGCAGATTATCAGTGTCGCAGGTGTGAACTGAACGAGAGTGAAGCATGTTTCTGTTCCAGCCACAGGAACTCACCTTCCAGTAAAAATAATCAGAGTACAAGGTTTTAAATTCAGTCTGTAAAGTATATTTTATTTGGGCTGATATTCTGTCTCAGCACTATTTTGTGACTATTAATTATAAGCCCTGTTCAACCCTCAACATCCCTCTCTCTCTCTCTCTTGATTGATTTATGTGTATCCTCACAGTGATCTTTTATTTCCTGTGAACACGCACTTCTCTGACACAGAGGAGTTTGCTAAATTCATTGAAACCTCTCCAACATTTGGAGAAAAGTCCAGATTGCTGATCACTTAGCTCCTGCGACAAAACTTTTTTTCCGTTGCAGCAACTGTTTTTCTTTTGTACGAACGCCAGCGTCCTCTCTGTTTGATACTCGTGCGCTCGTCGAGCACTGTGGCTGCACACATTTACTTAACACAAGCAAATGTCTTTGACTTTAATCTTTGTGATCATAGAAGTTTATATTTTCATACAAAGATTTGGTTTGTATAGTGGCCCTGTGACAGATTGTACTTTTGTGGGAAGTTTGTTATCCAAATCTCCGCAGCAGAATTCCCACAGTCACGCCTGCCCCCTCTGAGGCCTGTGCTGATATTTAAACCAGATTATTTCCTGACATTTGCTCAGCGGTCCAGGGATCCAGTGTGTGAGCCTCAGTGCATTTCCGCCAGGTTGGTAGTGAAGTCTATTTTGTAACTTAAATAAAAAATGAAATGGTTTTGTCCATCATATCAGATGTTTATATGATAGTATCATAGCTGTATATCTCTATGATGCTGCCATATACCATATTATAGTGTGATAGTGTTATTTAATAGGTAAATTGTATTGCTATTCATGAAATAAAGTTTGGGTTTGGGTGCACTGCATCCTTGTATTACATGGAAATACTGATGGAGGAGTTTTCACTTACACTGATAAGCGACATGTTCATCCTGTCGCCCCCTGCTGCCAGCCTGTGGGATAAAATGCTTTTGAGCTGAGAAAATACTAAACTATATTTTGCAACAGCAACAAAATACACTTAAAGGGCAACACCGCCTAAATTTAGAATTCCTATATGTTATTCCTATGACCTAAGTTAAATATTTGTGAAACCAGAGACGTACACCTCAAACTTGTGATGTCATCAAGTATAAAGTCTGGAGCTGCTCCATAGACAATTGATGGGAGCTGGATTTTGTGGACCCACACAATGTTTGTGTCCTTTTTTATACCCATTGAGCTTTAATCTATTGTAGTGCTCTCAGATCTGAAACAGAAAATGTACCCATATATTCAGAACGTTCCCCTGGGTGCTCTATGTGTCGTTTAGAACAGTGGTTTTCAAGGTACACCTGTATTTATATCTGTGCACAATAGCCTCTATGACGTGTGTTAGCACTCTTATCACGACATAAAAAAAAATGTATTGACTAATATCAAATAATAATTGACTATTAACTATTACACATGATATATTTATTAACAAAATGATTCAAGAATTCCTTTTAAACGTTTTAAAATGACATCAAAGCACCAATAACACATCCATTTAAACAGGAAGTAATGTGAGATAACGTGACTTAAAATTCCCTCACGCTAACAACGACAAAAATGTTCCCTGTGAAGGTTTTTTCTTAAATTACATTAAATTAAATGACTTTTTTAGCTAGAGTTTGCCTCTTTATAAGGAAATCAGTGTGCACAACATACTGATACAGTCAATTAAAAAATTAATTCATAACTTTTTGCAGTGTGTGTGGTTATCACAAACTCCCATGGCACACCTGGATTTGCATCACGGCACATTATTTGAGAACCGCTGATCTACAACATCTTTTCCAGTTCATTATCCAGGGAGCAACTTCAGACATTATTCTTGATTACATCACATTTGAGTTTTTAGCACTCTAGATTTTGGATTTGCGAGACTGTTGGAGAGAAGGGTTGGTCGTCACACTTTCATCTTTCATTTCAACCCCTCAAACACTGTATCCTTAATAGATTCCCTTTCTGTGTGTGATGGAAACCTGAAGTGTCAGGTTCTCTCCCATTTTTAAATTCATTCATGTTATTCCTGTGGTCTAAGACAGTCCAAAAATGTGAGTTAACATGAACAACTCCAAAATCCCAAAACTAGAGTGCTAAAACTCAAATTTGTGATGTCATAGGGTATAGACTCTGGAGCTGCTCCACAGACGGTGAATGTTGAGAGATGGTATAGACGACACAGAGCAGCCACGGGAACGTTCTGAGTATACATTATAATTCACTAACAAAGAGCACATCAATAGATATAAAGATTTAGAGTAGTTTATTGCACATGATGGCTTAAGGGTCTGGAGGGAAGGATGAAGGGATGAAGGGATTATAGGATGTGGGATGAATGGATGAAAGGTTAAGGGATGAAAGGATGAGGGAACACAGGAGGGAGCCAAGGGAGTTGAGACTCAGAGTGGGGGAGCTGTCTGTTCGTAATCTCAGATTAGGACAGAGCCTCCCAGTGGTTCCTACACTCAGACAGGAGAGAGACAAGGTAGATGTAAGAGGGGGGAAGAGCTGGGGGAGGGGAGGTGTGTGAGAACTGAGACAGCAGAAGAGAATAGATCAGGTGTGTTTCAATAGTTTTGGGCAGAAATGGGACGTGATCGAGTCAGGTCTTTGTTCCCAAACTTAGATATTAAACTACATTAAAGTTCATTTAGGTATAAAGAAGAAAACAAACATTCTGTGGAGCCACAAAATCAGGGCCCCATTCACTGTCTATGGAGCAGCTTCAAACTTTATACTCGACGATGACATCACAAGTTTGAGACTTCTGTGGTTTCTTTGTTTGAGAGAGAGTAGCTCAGGTTCACAAATATTGATTGAACTTTTCGAGGCCATGAAAATAACACACTGGAATTCTTCTCCTTATTCTGTTCAAGCTGTCAAATATGTATTGTGCCCTTGCACTGCTGTCCCTATGCTATTTTCAGTGGGGAAAAATAAAAAATAGAAGCCCAAAGATGAATTTAAAAGGTTTACCTTCACTGAAATTTGTCAAATATGTATTGTGCCCTTGCACTGCTGTCCCTATGCTATTTTCAGTGGGGAAAAATAAAAAATAGAAGCCCAAAGATGAATTTAAAAGGTTTACCTTCACTGAAATTTTTCATTAAACTGCAACAACCTCACCAGCTTGTGTATCGAGAGAACATCAGCAAGAAAAACCATTCCTATGAGTAGTTTTACATCCTTATATACTGTAACAGTATAAAGACCAAAAGTGATTTTTTATAGCAACTAAGATAATAACCACATGCTGTGGCCTAGCTGAGAAAAAAAATCTAAGCGTTATCTCTCCTTTCAAACATTTTAATGGTAATATTTTTTAAACTTAGAAGAGAAAAACAGAAGAGCTGGGTATTTATGTTTTGCCATGAAAAACACTAAAGTCCTCTCACCTCAATGTCAAGTGTCTTCCTCCTGAAATGACCCTGTGGTGACCTCTGACCCCAATTCTGAAAATATCAACATTTGGTAACAGCACCCTCTAGAGAGCAAGAGCTAGTAAATGTGACATCCAGCCTCTCCTACCCTTGTTAATCCATGTACATGCTGACTAATATTTTCAGACTGTGTTTGACCATTACATGTATGAATTCTGAAAACGGGCAGTTCTTACGACTCACATTGTATTATTATTGGTGCATAAATACAAAGGCGGAATGATAATGTAGCTCATCAAGGTGGAGCTCCTTTTAAATTATTCTTAATATAGTGTAAGGTAGTTTAGTCTGTCACAATGCATCATATATTCTTACATTTTTATATAACCTACTACAGAGTATGATCACAGGTTTTGTATGTAAAATATTTTATTGTAGAGCATGGAAGTGTATTGCTGCCTGTCATGCTAGAAAAAATAGATTAGTAGGCCTACAGATAATCACGTATACCGTGACGGTTCCAAAAACCGGAAATGAATTAGCATTTTACCACTCACGGTTTCCTGGTTTCCTCGTCTTGAGGTCAGGGAGTTTTGTTTAGACGCCTGAAATAAGGTCTGTGGTTTAACACAAGCTTAAGAGACTTTCAGTTTTTTCTCTACAACATCAAATATGCCAGTAAATACCCCATTCACGAACATTGAGGCGTTTATGTGTTCTAGAAATGGCGGTTGCTAACAAGTGGCTAAATGAGACTACAGACCACAGACATATATACAGACGTAACTATATATACAGATGTAACTAT